ATGGCTTCCCACAGCTGCTGCCCGTTTCAGCCTGGGCCGTGCGGGAGAGGCAGCTACAGGGGAGACTCACGAACAGCCGTCTCGCGCGTTCCAGATCTCTCCTGCGTGCGCTCCATCATCACCCTGATCGTCATGGCTCAATGAATACTTATTTTGTGCTGTGTACCAGGCACTCCTCTAGGTACTTGGGTTACATGAAAAAAAAAGGGCTTACATTCTAATAAGGGCAGGAGATGAGAGACAGAATAAATCTGTAAATGACGCTGAGGGTCAGGGCGGCCGGAGCAGCAGGCCTGGAGAGGCCAGGGCAGGCCTCGGTGGAGGCGGCGCCGTCGGCTTCCTGTCTGCACGCTCACACCAGGCCTGCTGCTTCCCCCTGTCCTCTGGGGACACTGGCAAAGGCTTGGGGCCAGGAAGGTGGTGGCACAGGCCTGTCAACTTTCCTAACAGCGGGTTCTGAGCCCAGAACTCTACGCTTTAGACACGGGGGGAATGTCCTTATGAAGTCTATGCTGGCAGGGCAGTGTCCCCTCCTGAGAGCCAGAGTGTGCTGTTCAAGGACTTCTGCGCCTTGGGCAAGCCGGGAAGAAAGAGAAGAGGACTGGCTGGTGTTCTTTAAAAAGACCTGTGCCTGTGTGCGCTGCTGTCTTCCAGACACCTGCCAGGCGCCCTGCTCTGTACTGGCCGTCTGGTGGACCCTGCCAACAACCCAGAGTGAGATACTCTTACGACATGCTGACTTTCTGAGGAGGAAACCTGAGGTTCAGAAGCTGGAATCTGGACACCAGGCTGCCCAGGTCAAGGGCGTACATCTCTAGGCCACGCTGCCCAGTTCACTTTTAAACAGGGCTCTGAGTCTGTCTGGAGGGAATCCCGAGGTCCTGCTTCGGAATCCGCCCTGCCCCGGCCTTCCTGGCCGCGCAGACCCTGCTGCAGCAATTAGCAGGGACAGGCTCAGCGCCCCCGCTGTGGCCAGGGGCTCCCCTACTGGCAGAGGACTTTCTTATTTTGAGTTCACAAAGGCCTCCTCGCAATGCCCACCCTGCTATCTGTTCTGGGCCCTAAAGCCACCCGAGAGTCTGGCCCAAACACAAAGAAAGGTCTCAGACTCTCCCACCACAACCCATTTTCCACACACATCACAACTCCTCCTCACCAGGTGAGCTCCCTTCCCTGGGGACATAAGTCTGGCCCAGATGTCCTGCTTGTGTTTTTTTTTTTTTCCTGCCATTGCCACACAGCTTGTGAGATCTTGATTCCCCAACCAGGGATTGAACCCGGGTCCTCGGCAGTGAGAGTGTGGAGTCCTAACCACTGGACCGCCAGGGAAGTCCCACTTTCTGACTTCTGAGGGTTGTGATGCTGCTCTGTCACATATCCCCCAATCTCACCAGTGGCTGGGCAGCCACACTGGGATGCCACCGCACCACGCAGCGAGCACTGCTTGTGAGGAAGCGTCACCTCTGGCTGGGTTCTGGTCTCTCCACGTGGCAAACCAAGACCAACTCACGAAGCTGCTGGATTCTGGCCTTCTCGATGACTGGCAAGGACACCCGGGGTCTGCGCTCGGGAACAGTCACACCTGGACTCACCTGTGCACTGTCAGGACACCTGCAAGGCATGTCACCCTCTTTACATCGCTCCCTTCAAAAGCAGCCATTTCCCTCCCCATTCAAAAGTGGCTGCTGAGCTGTCTAAAGGATCCCACGGCAAATTAGTAATAAAAAACAAAAAACAGCCCCAACAACAAAAATCAAAAAAAGCGAAGTTTGGACCCTCTGATCCAAGCCCTCCCTCATTTCTGCTGCCGCTCTTGCCTGGGCCAGACCAGAAGACACAGCACTTCACAGACACGCCTCCCACGTCCCTGTGACTCCCTGGTGCTGCTCACGGAAGCCGCAATTGCTCCATGGATCCCACGGTCACCAAGCATCACTCACTGAGCAAGAACTGCTGGGAGAGGGTATTCTAGGGACAGTTTCCATGGCAACGGTAACTCGTTCATACCGCACACGGAGGGAGATTTTTCTTTTAAACATCATCGTTCTCTAGACTTTTGGAGAAACATATGCTGTGGAAGTGATCACAGTTGTGCTTCTGAAAGTTAGTCATGTTTCTTAACAGTTTTCTGCACGGGTCTTCACTTTTAGAAACGGAAGGACAGCCTGAGAACAAGGCACGTCATTAAGAAACGCTGTCTTGGTTCCTTTGATCTGCCTGATCTAGATGAAAGTCGACCTAACTGGAAGATAAGCCTTATATTCAAGAGTAAGACAACACTCTGATTGTCAGGTAAATAAAACCAGTAGTACTGCCTCGCCAGGTACCTTACCTCACTTCTGAGGGATTCCAGGGAAGTAAATGAGGAAAAAAGTGTGGCTTTGTCTCAAGTAATCAAAGTACTCTAGAATATTCCCTTTCAAAATTCACCATACGGGACTTCCCTGGTGGTCCAGTGGTTAAGAATCTGCCTTCCAATGCAGGGAACGTGGGTTCGATCCCTGGTTGAGGAACTAAGATCCCACATGCCATGGGGCAACTAAGCCCACGTGCCACAACTACTGAGCCCGTGAGCTCTGAAGCCCGCGGGCCACACTAGAGAGCCCGCGCTCTGGAGCATGTGTGCAGCTAGAGAGCCCGTGTGCCACAACTACTGAGCCTGTGTGGTTTGAAGCCCGCGTGCCCCAAGTGGAGAGAAGCCCACGTGCTGCAAAGAGCCTGTGTGCTGCAACAAAAGATCCCGCGTGCTGCAGCTAAGACCCAATAAAGACCCTTTATTCAAATAAATAAAGTAAAAAAAAAATTCACTGTATGAAGAATAAAAATGCCATATCCTGAGGACGTAGTATCTCAAGGAAGGATGTGGGCCCCTCAGTAATGGATGAGATCTCAAGTTTTAACCTCAGTAAAGGTAACACTACCTATGCTGCCACTAAACTCAAACCTTCATCAATAGAGTCTTTTACATACAACCAGTTCAGATGACTTCTGCAGATGAATACTGGTACTACAAACACACACAATTTCTCATTGGATCAGTAACTATTAAGATGCAGATATGGCTTATGACAAATAAGCAATCAAAAATAATATGAACATTTGTGTCTGTATAAAGAGTGGCCATTTCATTAGGGCACGTGGTAAACTGATTTCTCCTAAAGGAGTTTAACTTCTAGTATTCCATTTGTCCTTGAAAACAATTTAAAACATGTCCAAGGCAACAGGATCAGAAGAAACTCGGCTGCAGCCACACCTTTGCTTGGCAGAGCTCCGCTTCACCCCCGCAGCTCCTGCAGGGCCATCTTGCACAGGAAGCCCTGCACACTGTGCTCTCGGAAAAGTGCATGCTGAAAGGGGACGGGTCTGGAGGAGAAAGGAGAATGCCTCAAGTGAAAAAATGAGGGGACTTGTTTTTTTTCCCCATAATCACAAAGGTTTGAAAGTACCAGTAAGGTGAAAATGACCGGCTCTATTGTTAGGTCAAAGGGCACTGACCCCTCCATCCTTCCCTGACCCTGGCTGAGGACCACAGGCCTGGCGCTCCTCCCACCACAAGGCTCTCCCGCCAGGCCCACCTCTTCTCCCCGGCCTCCCCAGGCACTGTCTCTGGGGCTCAGCACTGGTCCTCTCCTCTGCTCTGATGAGCTTCTCTCACTTGCCGAGGGTTCCTGGGGTCTCTCTCCCCAGTCTCCACCTATGTGTAAAGGTACCTCAAACTCGATGTGTCCAAACCTGTTCTCCCACCCCCAAACTTTCCCACAACCTGTCCTGTTTCGTGGGCAGCAACCCTCTCCTTTCTGCTGCTCTGGCCGAAAACCAGGACAGTCATCCTTGGCTTCTTCTCACTCACCCATTTCTAATCCAGGAGTAAACGCAGTTGACTCTTATTTCAAAACATACCCAGAATCCAACCAGTCTCACCAGGGCAGCATCACCTCTTACCTAATTAGGGCCGACAGCCTCCAAATGGTGTTTCTGGCTTCTCCTCACGCCCTGGGATGAATTTGCAACACAGCTGCCAGAACACGGGTTTGAAAGCCTGAGGCCACTCTTCTTCTTCTGTTTGAACCCCCCAGCTGCTCCCATCTCAGAGTAAAAACACATCTGCATCACCTCTGTGGCCCAGTTGGCACCCTGACCAAATGCCCTCCACTCTGCTCCAGCTCGCTGCTGCGCTCCGGCCTCGGCCAGATACTCTTCCGGGAGACGTGCGCGGATGCCTCCCTCGCAGCCAGGCCGCTGCTCAAGCACCCCATCCCCACCCGAGCCCCAGGACCTCTGGAATGCCTGACCCTGCCCTGTGACGTTTTTCATGCTGTTTACCACTTTGTTCTATACTAGATACCGTACTATTGTTTACTGACTGCTCTCCTATTAGGACATATGCTTTAAGAGGCTAAGGATGTATCCCAAATACCCAAAACAGTGCTCTGCCCGTGGTAGACAGTAAGTATTTGTGACTGAGTGACCAGACTTTCATACTTGGACCACCACCGACAAACCCAGAACCCAAACAGCACACCAATTAATGTGATAATATCCCCGTGAGATTAAAGCATCAAACTGACTGATGAGTTTATTACCCTCTTTATGTAACCATGTAGGTGTTGGGAAACGGCTGTGAGTCTAATTCATGTACTGAATCACAAAAAACAAGAGGAAAATTACATACTTCATGGAGAACAAACCCAGAACTGCCAAGGCCTGGCGTTTCTCCACACGGGGGCGCGCCGGGGCTCCCGAGGCTGAGGCTGACGGCCACTCCCGACTCCCATCCTGCTCAGGTCACCAGGGGGGCCATCTTCTCCCTTTATTGCCTTTGGGGAAAAAAGATGCTAGAAATCACAAAATGTTGGGATCCACGCTAAGGAAAGAGTGGCCCGGCCTTCGCACACTTTCCATTTGCTTTTGTTCAACTTGGTGGTGGAGGCAAAAACACATACTTTTAAGTCACTGCCTTAATCTGAATCTTAAATACAGTATTAGGAGACAATGCAAGATTTTACTCAGAAAAAGTGAATTTTTAATTATCTTGTGAATCTACTTAGAAAAACACACACAAGCAATGTTCACAACTATAAATTTAAACCTTTTGCACTAAAAAAAAACACGAAACAACAAACACAAAACCACAGGCATGAACTGTAAACCTGCATTAATTACCAACTAGTCTTAAAGTTAATTCTTAGTAGTAATTCAGTATTTTCCTCCTTGGCAATTTTAATGTTTTAGCACCAAATAATCTCCCACAGAGGTACTCGTAACAACTCTGGTTGCCAGTGTAAGGAGATGCTTCCGTAGCACTACTTCACACACACACCGTCCACTCTCACACCCGCACAGACAGGAGGCACGTGGAGATGGATGTCACACGCTGACTTTCAGGGCAATGGAAATAAGACAGAGGGCACACGTGTCACACGTCTTTAATGTAGTGCATTCGTAGAAAAAAGGCCAGCTTTCGCTCCCAGGCGTGCTCTCGTCCTTATATTTTAATATCATGATTTAGAAGATGCAGACGTTATTGCCTAAATATTATTCTATACATTTCCATCAGTGTTCAGGAAAACACTTTAAATTGCTACTTAATTTACACCATAATTACTGGGTTACAGCTTTAGCTCATTGGCAATTTTGGAAGCGATATTTTTGAAAGCTATGGACGTCCCTGATATCCGCTTAAACCGGACCCCGTTCAGAGACAGTCTTGGCAGCTTGCACACTTCCATCTCCCACTGCACGAGGCTCTCCGCGTGCCCGTCGCCGTGGACACAGAAGAGTAAGAAGCGCTCTCTCTGCTCGTAGTCACAGTTATTGGCGTCCAGCACTTTGCGGATTTCCCGCATCATGTCATTGGGATCCATGGAACTAGTGGTTTTCATGCTCCAGGTAAAGCGCAGGGAACGAGGTTTTGCTTCTTTGTTTTCCTCCTTTTGCTCAGCAGATACGTTGCGACTGAAAGGCACAGTGCAGGTTTATTCTTAATTGCACAGGAAAACTCACCTTTTCTACTCTACCCAGCTCATGACCAATGTCTTCAATACAGCATAATAAATGACTTCCACGTTTTTCCCGCATAGGCTCATGGCTGGTAGACTGTTCCTTTGCTAAGAAGTACTCACCTATTTCTCCACAACCCCCTTCCCGTCCCAATCATAAGCCACAATGTAAAAAATCTACCTGGCCGAAAAACCTCCACCAGTCATCCGGTGAAAATTAAGAAAGTAATTGTTAAACAGAACCCTTGGGAGGAGGCAAAGTGGAGAGCGAACTGAGCACGTCTCCAGAGCCCAGCCCTCGTCATCCAGGCTGGCTGCCGGCGGCAAGGTGCCGGCAGGGCCCTTCACAGGCCAGCTCAGGGAGGCGGCGGCAGCAGCCCAGCCACCAGGTCTGCTCGGCCTGGCTGCTTCTCCTACCACAATTTTAAAAGATTCAATTCATCATAACCTCCACTGTTAACTGTTACTCAGGATAACCAGTTACTCAACACAGTTGAAAATCGCTTTCCCGGCAAACGGCCCCAGATGCTAAGTACAGCTAGGTAAGAGAGTGGGCCATTCTCTCAGTCCCCTACCACCACCTTAGCATTTTTCCTTTTACTGTGCTAATTTAAACTTCCAACTTCACAGTTAAAAAGAATTCTTAGATGACACTACCTTACTACTGAAATAGGAAAATGAAATGTTGAGGCTTACTTGCTGCTGAGCACTGAAATGACCAATTTGAATGTAAACTGTACAGATTCACAAGGTGCAGGCTGTGGTCCCAGGCACGGCTCTCTCAGGAACTCCAAGAGGCACCTACCATCTCACTGCTCTGCGGTATTTAATCATTACTGCCACAAGCCGTTACTGACATTCTCAATTAGGAGGGTGAATACCTAACACGCTTGTGCATTAAAAACTCACAGTGGGGCTTCCCTGGTGGCGCAGTGGTTGAGAGTCCGCCTGCCAGTGCAGGGGACACGGGTTCGTGCCCCGGGCTGGGAAGATCCCACATGCCGCGGAGCGGCTGGGCCCGTGAGCCATGGCCGCTGAGCCTGCGTGTCCGGAGCCTGTGCTCCGCAACGGGAGAGGCCACAGCAGTGAGAGGCCCGCGTACCGCAAAAAAAAAAAAATCAACAAAAACTCACAGTGTATGTATGTTCAATACACTCAATCCTATGGCAAATTCACCAGAGCTGAGAGTGGACCGTAGGGTTTACTGTGTATGTAACTCTCCCTGTCAGCCACCTGCTAACAGAATATTCAGTTTGGTTCACACCTACCAAAACTGTTTGAAAGCTTCCTAAGTATAAAATGCTGCTAAATACTAAATAGGTTACAAAAAAAAGCAAAAGCTCTCTAAGCTGGGGTCAGGGGGGGAAAAACTAAAACACAAGGAAACAGCAATAGCACAGGTAAGGCACGGGCTGTCAGCTAGAGTCCCAGAGAGGTGGAGCCCGCCTGACAGGGAGGACCGCAAGAGAGGGGAGGAGTGGAGCAGAGGGAAAGGCAGGGTAGACGACGCGGGGCGGGGCGGGCAATGGCATCTGAGAAGAGCTACGAAGACACCATGGGATTTCAACATGACGACGGAGGCGGGAGAAAGTCTGTGTCTAGGGCAGAGGAAATCTCTTAAGTGAAGGCAAGGAGGTATGGAAAGCACAGAATGTGTTGAGGGCAAATTCGAAGGTACCCACGGACTGGAGCTGAGGGCACAGTCTCACCCCCCCCAGACGGCCGCTGGCATTTACTGAGCCGTTGATCCTCAGCACACCAGGAGGTGGGTTCTGTTAGTCCCTCCCAACTATGGCTGGGGAGGCAAACTCAGGGCAGCTAGACTTGCTCAAGGGCAGGCGGGGGGATGCTGCCTGACTCTCACCCTGAACTTCTGCCTCAACTGAGGGATTTGTGCGTGGGGGAAACTGGGGCTGCTGAGGCCACACAGGGCCTCATATGGACATGGTCGGCCAGGAGATGGGGCCACTGCAGGTTTTCATTCAGGGTAGTCATGATCAGAGCTGTGTTTTAGAAAGACCAGGAAGAGAGGAAATGGGCTAACAAGGACCTGAAACAGCATGGTGGCGACTGGCATAAAAAAGGGCACAAGTGGAAGAAATCTAGAGTCCTGAACCCATCTGGTGACTCCCCCTGCCGCCAGATCCATGCAATGACAGGTACAGAAAATTTAAACGCAAAACACTCAACTACATAATCGTTCTTTTTTTTTGGCCGCACTGCACGGCTTGTGGGATCTTAGTTCCCCGATCAGGGGCTGAACCTGGGACCTAGTGAAAGCACAGAGTCCTAACCACTTAATTCCCTACATAATCATTCTTAAAGAAAAAAAAAAAGACATCTAATTTGAAATATGAAAATTCTCCTAGGGAATTTCCTAGAGGTCCAGTGCTTAGGACTTGGAGCTTTCACTGCCAGGGCCAGGGTACAATCCCTGGTCTGGGAACTAAGATCCCACAAGCCACATGGCGCGGCCAAAAAAGAAAAAAAAAATTCTCCTAAATATTCTGCTTTCACTCCTTGAGACTAGAACTATGCCAGGAGTTCTCACCAGGTCGACAATGCTCCAGACTCCCAGACCTCACCTCAGGTCAGGAGAGCTCAGGCAGGAGGAATGCGTCTTTTTTTTAAATTACAAAAGGAAATTTATTTCAAAAGCATAAGGGAACACTTACATTTGAACAAGGGGATATACAGGTGTCTCGCAAAAGAAAACTAACCCATGGCATGAAGTTTTTCGTTCAAATTTTTGAAAAAGAAATAACCTAAGTTGTGCACTATTGCCTTAGGAAAGGGAAGGGGAACAATGAGGTGGTAAAGGAAGGAACACAGTCAACTTAATATCAAACTTTAGAAAGTAAAGTCACTTCTGCTCAGCTTTGAGTTTACAAACATTAAAAAGAAAAAGAGGAAAAATCACACTTAATGTTCAAATTTATATAACTGTAGTTCCAAAACAGCATCTATACTTGAAATGGCTTTAGGCCACTGGCTGATCTGCCGCTGAGGTCCAGGCTACCTGGTCACAGTTTTCAAATGGCAATTCCACGTTCCTATGCCTAGGAATGCGTATTTTAACACCCAAACACCAGTGAGAACCCAGGTGGGGCTGGGACCCGAGGCTCCCACCAGCAGGTGGCTGCAGCACTCCAGCGCCCTCACGTGGCTGCCAGGTGCCGGCGGCAGCAGCAATGCTTCCTGACCACATACTGCTGGTGGCACTAAGCAATTCCACGTGGAGCAGGGACAGATGCAGAACGTTCAGAAAAGGGGTGTTGCCTCTGCCGCAGAAATGAGGTAAATACCTATAAAATATTTTAAGTAAAAATCGTTTCCCTCACCTTGAGCCCTCATATCTCCCGTTCCTCTCATATTCAGTTGGAAGCCTCAATGAATAGAATGCAGAAGCACAGAGAAGTGGGAAAGAGAAAAGATATCTTACAACCAGTACACGACCAACCCAAAGATAAACACAGACATTATAAAATGAACAAATCCAAAGCACTTTTTTTTGGTCACCAGCTGAGCTTATTAAAACTCCTACTCTTGTAGGTGTGACTCTGCCAGAGGCCACCGCCATGAGTTCATGAAGGCCGTGCAGGAGGCTGGCTACACACCTGCTTCACATACACAACAGGTATTCCTGCCCAGCTCTGGAATCTGCGCACACTCACGGCCTTCAACTGGAGGTATTCTTTTTAATCACTACCCAAAGTATAGTGGGTTTCCAATTAAATAATCATGGAGTGGAGTTTCCCACAGGAAGAAAGCACTCTTCCCACGGTTTCTGATAAAGAGCTCACGTGAACAAAGACTCTCCACGACCCACTGGTGGCCTCCACATAAAAACCCATCACCTGGCCCGCTGGTGAGCTGAGAGCAGCAGGCACGATGTGGCTGCAGTGGCAGCTTTTCCCTCAAGGGTGTGTGCATCCCGAGACAGTGAGCAACGCTTCTGGTCTTTTGAGTGTCATCATCAAAAAACTATCTACCTAGTAAGAGTAACATTTACTACAGTGCTTTAAGTAAAAATGAGACATACTTTCTTCAGAGGTTGGTGGAAAGTGCCTTTTAGATACAATACTATTCACTCTTCAACTCTTGGAAAATATTAAAATATTTCTGCTATACAATTGCCCACGTCTTAATTTCTGAAAAACCCCAACAAATGAGGTTGTAGGTGTGAATTTTACATTTATTTCCAGTATCAGGATATTAGGGGATTTATCTGTCATTTTAAAGCCTTTTGCTAATGCAATACTTCATGAAATAAAAAACGACAGCTAACACAATTACCACTTACCGTTTGCATGCTTGAGGCTAATCATGAATTGCACATTGTTACTGAACATCTCATTCTTCAAACAGAAGCATGCTAAGTGTTATTAGTATGAAGACAGAATTATTTGGATGCTAAATAATTCTACCAAAGGAAGAAAATGCACAGAGCATGCGTAGGCCTCTTGTTACATGGGTGCCACAGTCCCTTTAAAAATGCCTGACAGAGTTAATCTCTTTCTTTCCAGCTTCCTTTCAAAGAAGTATTTAGTTCTCAGCAGAAAGTTTAGTGTTTAAGGAAAAAAAACAAGGCTAGAAAGCCAAACCTGATGTTAATTGCAGGAGCCATTTCAGGGTGAGGATTGAAAAAAAAATGTGTATATATAAATCCTACCTTTTGATAAACCTGAATGACATGTTTCTAAAAGAAATTAAGCCAAAAAAAAAAAATTAACAAAAATGAGTTGCACAAGTTAAATAGTCAATTACAGATAGAACAAAAAACAGCAAGTAAAACAGGGCTCCTCTCCTGTCCAATGAGCAATGAAACAGCGACATTTGATGAAAAAGTAAAATTATCACAAATATTGTGTATGTGATCTTTTAAACAGAAATATAAAAAATCTGTACTTGTAAGAAAAAATTTAGCAGTAAATATTGACATTAACTATAATTAAATGTTTTAAGGTTCTTCAGATGGGTATACCTTAAGATAATAAAATTCAACATTTTGTGTTAAAGTCATTTGCAATGTACTAGAAATAAAATAACATTCCTCAACTTTCTTCAGAATATCTTGTGAACAAAAAATCACCTTATACAGAAACATTAAAAATTTCATTATAAAAATATTTATCCATGAAGAGAATCATTACTTACTTCAGGAAGATGATTTAGACATTAACAGAATGTCTGTTACAGTGGTTTCGTATAAATCACTTTTTAAGAAAAAAAGTCATTGGAGGTTAGGTTTTTTTCCCTTCCAGTTTTGATATAACTGACATACAGCACTGTAATAAGTTATTGGGAGTTTAAAATGAAGTAGACTTTTTAGAGCTTTAGATATCAAAATGAATGAAAATTAAATGACCAGACAACAGTGGGGGGTTCATTTTTATGTTTTATGTAATAAACGGAAAGAGCTGTGTTTAAAAGAAGTAACTCTGCTCATTAAAAAAAAATTTAAGGAGATGCTTGGGTTGTGCTGAACAGAATTTGACAAAAGAAATTTCAAACTGGCTCAGGCTTGTATGATCACGCAATAAGCATTCCTGGGTGAGTGTGAGCTGGGCTTGTCAAGCTATTTCTAAATCTCAGTTCCGAGACACAGCACAGGAGGCACTCAAATGTATTTGAGGACTGACTGAATTAATAACTTCCTTCGTTGTTTTTTTCCTAATTTGGGATGACTTTTGCATTGCTTCAGATACCTACCAAGTTTAAAAGTATCTAACTACTGGAGATAACCGCCCACCACTCCATAATCAGATCAAAAGTAGTATACAGCAGGATTACACACAGTAAGGAAAGATCATGCATGTGAAAACTGATTAAAAGGCCTTTAAAACGTATTTTCATTTCCGAATTTTCTACCTGAGAAAAGTCAAGGGGACTGCTCAGGTACCATAGGACTGATTTTCTTAACTTTTCCTCCCTTAAATCCCTTGAGGTATAAAGAGGAGGAAGCTACAGGATTAAGGCTCTCACACTCCGCCCGGGACCACGTGGATGGCTCCCAGGAGCACAGAGGCACCTGCGCTTGTGCCCGGGCTGTCCTGCCTGCAGAGTATGGGTGACTCTGAGTGCCCTGAGCCCACAGCTCTCTAAAGCTCTCACAACATCCAGGGCACAGCCAGGAGCAGAGGGCGAGTTTTCTGATGCCAGTCCCACCACGTCACAGCAGGTCTCCTTGTGGCATCTACGTGCCAACACCTGAGCCTTTCCTGCACTAGAACTTTAACCCTCACAATTATTGTTAGGAGAGGGTAAGAAGCTGATGCTGCGGCAGCAAGGACTCTGTTTTTAAGAATGAACTGACTAAAACTGAAGTACAGCACCAAGGGAGGCTACAGGTCTCAGTCTGCAAACTAACAGAAGACTTTCTGTAAAAATTTTGGGGTGGAAATTATAAAATCAGATGAGCCCCTCTAGAATATTTTTAACAAGAAGCCTCAGCCTTCACTTTCAATTCAAATACATGAAATAAATTTAATTCTAAAATGTGGGAAAAGGACTCACGTCTGTAACCGTGCTTTACCGTTTTCTGCCAGGGACACTCACAGTGGGTTCACGGCTCTTCTGGGGCCACGGATCTGACTCAGCACTCTTCTGCTGTAGGACCTTCAACATGTGCCTTAATCTCTCTGAACCTTGCCTCCAGTTTCTTCTATGAAACTGGGACAATGTCTATTCCATGGGGTAGATTATGGAGATTAAATGAGTATGTGAGAGAGAATGCATGTGTGTGCATACACACATACTTATTTATGTATATAAAATGAGTATTCCTGGGCTTCCCTGGTGGTGCAGTGGTTGAGAGTCCGCCTGCCAATGCAGGGGACACGGGTTCGTGCCCCGGTCCGGGAAGATCCCACATGCCGCGGAGCGGCTAGGCCCGTGGGCTATGGCCGCTGAGCCGGCGTGTCCAGAGCCTGTGCTCCGCGGTGGGAGAGGCCACAGCAGTAAGAGGCCCGCGTACCACAAAAAAAAAAAAAAAAAAGAGTATTCCTATATCTATAAATCTACAGACATCTCTTTAGCTTAGCACACAGGAAGCATTCAGTATACTGTGGCTGATGTTATTTTTGTCAATGATAGTATTAAGATGACCCCCAAAAACCCACGAAGGAGGCAAACAAATAAATTCAAGGATTTTAATGATGTGCAAGGCTTTATTTAAAGAGCCCATTACTGACCAATGTGTAAGGACACAAAGCTGACTGTCCTGTGACTGGAGCTTAGACAGACCTGACTGCCACACATCCCTTCTGTTCTCGGGGACCAGAGGGCAAAGGATCAGTTGACATTAAGCAGCCTAGGCTCCGAGGAAGGAGCTAAGGCACAGGGAGGCTGGGAACAGCACCTGGGATGACCCTGAAAGGAAGCAACGCATTATTTTGGGGGTCATCAGACTCTTCTTGGGTTGAGCTCATTGTCTCTCTTGCTGGCCACAAATGGGTGCCCCAAATCTGGCAAGGCCCTTCAGACCATTCTGCTCTTCTGCCCAGCCTGGAATGGGATGTCTCAGCAAAGGGGCTCAGAGAATAATAGGGTAGACCAGAAACTCTGGACTCCTCTGACCTCTAGTCAATGCTAGTGGATATCAGAAGTCCTCCCTAATCTGGTATTTGACATCCTGACAATGAACAGATCATCTGGGGAAAGACAGTTTAATGTGACTTGTCTAAGTTTTAGATGACTGATTTAAAATAACATTACTGGGGGAGACTGAAAAGCGGTATTTAGCTTACAGGTTAAATCAAGACGACGGCACGTAACAGATCAGTAGGCTCACGGGCCACAGAGAGTCAGAGGAGAGAGGAGGCGGGCATGTGTCATTTTAGACTCTGGGAAGAGCCCACTGTTGTTCTGTGAAGAAGACACAAGTGATGAACCAGAGGGTCTGTAACAGGCAAAACCTGCAGGACACCTCGGACAGACTAATCCACAGAGAGGCTTAAGTTCAAAGAATTTCCTCTGGGTGTCCTGGAACTGCAAGGGCTCTCAGGTTTCCTGGGTGTGGTCCTGGCTAAAGGTGCCTTTGCTTATAATGCAGAGTGGTATCTTTTCTTTTTCCTCTTATAGTAGCCAATGTTTCTAGGCTTTGCAACCTCTAGACGAAGATTCTGGAAATAAAGTTAAAAGTACCTCAAGGGACCTTTAGAGATTTCCCAAGGCCCCAACTGACAGTCTACTGGACATACAAAAGATTTTATACATGACCAGATACTAGCTTCTTCCTAAGAATAAGGCAAGGATTTTATCTCCAAAACTATTCAATATAGAATGTTACCTTGTTCTCATTATAACTCAGGCCAACAGAGAGAACAATTTCAAGATTGAAGCTCTAAGAAACTTAGTGCTCCTCAACGACACTGGAATGCAACGAGAGAAGAGGAAATGTCTCTCTCCTCCGTGTCTAGGGACGCTTACACCATACACGTCTTCCTCGGTGGCTACTGATGGGGCGCCAGCCCCCGAACTACACTGGATCTGGGCTTTCGCTAAACTGAAGTGCACATGCCATGTAGAGAGATGTGAGAGTAAAAGGAAAAGTAATTAAACAACAACCACCTCCCAAGTGCTAGATAACTTTTAGTGTTGTGAAAGGACTCTGAGCTCTATAATTCCTCTTCTGAAAGGTTTTGAAAGTACAGCATTAGAAAAATGTGAGCTAAAGACAAACTGAAAAGCATCTGGGCAGCGGCTTCACACGAGGGAGACGGCACTTCTCCCTTTGCGCTTGTGTTTGCTCCAACCAACAGCACCGCCTAGGCACTTACCTCCTCGTGAGTTTGGAAGTTAATTTACTAAAAAGATTAGTGGAGCCTCGGCTTCGAGTCTGCGACAATGGTGTGGCTTCATGGGACAGGCTGGGTGAAGCAGGCGGGCCGTTATACGTGGCAGTGCGCCGCTCCCGGGGCTGGCCGTGGAAAGTGCTACGACTGGCAGTGCCTCTTGGGAAGCGGGTTCGATCTGGGGTGGTGGCGCTGCTAATACTGTGTGTTGAAGCAACTGGAGCTCTCTGGTCAGGAATAGTGCTTTGAGATCAGAAAATGACAGATTCTTAGATCTCTGTTCACAAAACCCTGGCTTTGTAGCAAACATGGCACACAAACATTTACGATCACAATATACCTTTGATATAGAGTGGAGAAAACCAGTTATATAAATCCAGATCCAAGGGGTATTTTATAGGACTTAGGAGCAAAAGGTAAGTTAAATGGCAAAGGGTACCAAAGGAATAGTACATAATCAAACAAAACCTCATGGAGTTTAAGGGAACAGTACACACATATTTTCAAGGACAAGATTAATGCAGGGAAATTCTAGAACAAAGAACAGCTAACTCAAGCTTTTTTTCCTTTGCTTCCCTCTCAAATTGCTTACATGCAGAGAAACTTGCCAATACAAAAGAAATAAAGGCTATGCAGGTGAAACTGAAGAATAGGCAACTAAAAAGTTTTGGAAGCAAAAAAATGGCATAAGTACTGTAAAATTCCACATGCTGAAAGCAACTTGGAAAGAAGGGGGAATTTCTTACACCCTTTGTAGTATGCAAAGGCATGAAGACACAAAGATGACCAGGGACACCATGAGACAGGATGTGCTTAACTAAAACCACACACAGGAAGGACACTTTGTAGACAACTGGAACAAAATCTTGGACTATAAAATCCACAGCACAAAATTAAGAAGCAGTGGGTACACATTAGTTTCACAAGGAATGTGCATTTTCTTACATAGCCTTGAAGTTATCTCCTTCACTGTCTATTGGAGGTAACATCATCTTGGGGCGCCCAGAGCCTGACATGGACATCGACTTGTGATGTCGCAGCCGACAGGTGGAAGATGTCTTACAAACAGAGGCAGGGCTAGCTGCGTAAGCGAACATTTCCATCAGGCTGGGAGGGGGTTTGGGTTCAGGCAGAGGCAGAAACAACAGTATGATGGACTAGTGACAAAAAGAGCAACTCTTGTTCAAAGCATATAACCTTCCTCCCCAAACCATCTCGTCTTTGTCAAGGAACAAAAATCTCCTAAACCTGTTTTGGGGATTCTGGAGCAACTGCTAATCTGTATCTGCTTTTTTTAAAACAGCAATTTAAAAAGTTTATTAGCTTTAAAGAAAAGAAAATAACATCATACGTGTTTGAATATTTACGTGAGAGGGACGATCTCTTCCGAGCTATGTATAAAATTAAGCCTACCCTAAAAGAGATGCCTCCATTCATACCAAAGTGAATCTATAACATGAGCCCACTATGCTCTTGACCTGTTCCCAAAGCACACTGTCATATTTTAAATGGACTAGTAAAATCACAGGCGCAGCAGTAACTAGTTCTATTTATCGAAGTATCCTATGTTGTTTAGATATCCTATGTTGTTTGTATTTATCAAAGTATCCTATGTTGGGCTTCCCTAGTGGCGCTAGTGGTTAGGAATCCGCCTGCCAATGCAGAGGACACGGGTTCGAGCCCTGGTCCAGGAAGATCCCACATGCCGCGGAGCAACTAAGCCCGTGCGTCACAACTACTGAGCCTGTGCTCTAGAGCCCACAAGCCACAACTACTGAGCCCCCGCGCCACAAACTACTGAAGCTCAAGCGCCTAGAGCCCGTGCTCTGCAACAAGAGAAGGCACCACAGTGAGAAGCCCGCGCACTGCACAAAGAGTAGCCCCTGCTCGCTGCAACTAGAGAAAGCCCGTGCGCAGCAATGAAGACCCAATGCAGCCAAAAATAAAATAAATTTATTTAAAAAAAGTATCCTGTTAAAACCTTCCTACTCAAAGGACTTTCACTTCTTTATAAACAACGCTCTGAATTCCTAAGGGGTCAACAGAGCCCCATTTTTCAAGGTGGGAAAACTAATAAGAGCGAATTAACTGTTTATAGACAGAAAAAGAGTAACAAGTGGCTACATGTCTGCAGTTTCACCTGGCACAGACAGCTATGGGACAAAACTACCTAAGGGAGTTTCCCCATCCTTAATTCCAGCTCAGTCATCATGTCCTTGGAATTTCAAAGGGGCAGTTTCTTTCCTTTAAAAGATAATCAGGGATTTAGAATTTTGACCATACTCTTTCAGTGACTTTCTACAGAAATCCTTTCAAAGCCTGAAACCTAGAAACATCAGGTTCTTTCCCTCATGCCCCACATCCAGAGCAACTGGGACATCTTGTTGGTGTCAACTTCCTAACAGCACTTCAATGAGCCCGGGCCTCCCCACCTCTACTCTGAGGGTCTTCGTGCAGCGCTTCACCTCTCCCACAGGCCCAATCCTAAGTCATCTGTCTTTACTGGTCTCCAATTTCACACTTTCCAATCTGTCCACCATACAGCTGTGAACTTTCTAAAGCGCAAACCTGACCTTGTCACTCATCTGCTTTTAACCATGCAAAAGCACACTGCGTCTTCAGGATAAAGTCCAAACTCCGCTGGCATCCAAGTAGCATCCTCAGGTGCCCACAGCTCGGCCCCTGCCACCTCTCCAGGCTTGACCTTTCACTGTTACCTCCCGGGACTAGACTTTCGGGCCCACCTGATGACGTGCAGTCGCTTGGTCGTGCATCAAAGAACTTTTGCAGGAGCTATTCTCCGTGTCTGGAGAGCTGGCATCTTTCTATTTTCATCAAAATTCAACCCAGAGGTCATCCCCTCCGCGAAGTCTCCACCGGTGCCCTCTCCCATCAGGAGTGACTCATTCTGCTCTATGTATTCAGTGCAGGCACCTGCTACCGCACACCACACTGTACCGCAGTGACTCCTGTCTGCTCACGCGCCCTGGAAGCACGGCCTGCAATCTCATCGTGTCCCCGGGGTCTCCTAACTGAAAAGGTACATTAATGAAATGAGCCACTGGAATTCTAACAGTCCCAATATGAAGGAGACAGGTCTTTGTAATAAACTGCTCAAGAAGATCTGCTTGTCCCTGCGTTTTCGTTTGACGATCCTGCCCTCCCATTGGGGGAGTGGCTTATAAAGATTAAACAGAGATTCACTTTTGTGTTTTTCACAGTCCTTTCCTTTGGCAAAAACACCTGAATTCTGTTTTGGTAGAAATAGGTTTTTGGTCTCTCGATGTCGTTGACTCCACCCCAGACTTTCCCAGCTACCCTGGCCAGTGACAGATTAAGAGATGGGCACATGGCCAGAGCCAGACCAACAGGGCCCCAGAAGACAGCCCCAGGGCTTCTGCTTGAGCAGAGCTGAGTGTGGGAAGATGTCAGGGCGGATGCTGCTGAGCCCATCAAGGAACTCCTGCAGAAGAAGCAGAACTATGAGATGAACCCTGACTCTATCCCTGGACTTTTTTAGTTATAGGAATTCATAGATGCCCTTTTTAATTTAAACTTGTTTGGACTGGGTTTCTGTCACCTGCAACACAGAGAGTCCTAAGTGATTCAACTATCTGAAGAAATGCTTTGTTGTTTCCAATATGCACGTACAGACATACATACACATAGATACATATAATTTTACTTTAATAAGTTACAGATAAATACAACTGTCTTTTGTGCTCTATTACCTGTTCCGAGCAGGTCAAGAGTCGTCAAACACACTTTATGCCCCTGCCCAGCTGCTGATGTTCTCTTGCCCAAATTAGGAGCTAAGATCAATAGATGCATTAAAAAAAAAAAAGCAGGGGAAGAAGAGGAGGCAGGGGTTATTTGGCATCTTCCCTGGAGAATATAAATGGTCCCAAAGACTCTGGATAAGGAAATGGCTTTCCTTATCCAGAGCAGGGAGATGCTCAGTCTATCCCCTGTGAGGCCATTGCTCCCTGGCTAGACACTGAAGGCAAGACTGTGTGGACAGACACTTTACAACAAAAAACTGACCCCTCCTTAGAGTCAGAGACCTTCTTAAAAAGGAAGTGCAAATTGATATATTAAAAATTATTAAATTTTTACAAAATCTTAAAGGCAATTAAATGAATTATTTCTTTAGAAATTTAATCATGTCACATTACGAGTTCCACAAAGCAAGCAACAAAACAGATGTGTTTTTTTTGACTTCTAAAGTAGGCCTAGCACCTCAATTTAGGAAACAGTAAACTCAATAAATGTTTGCCGAATGTCAAGTCTGTACAAACTCACAAAAATTCTATTTACAACATACAATCCCAACATCACAATGGGCTGCATCAAACTGGACAAAATTTCTCCCCCAGAAAAGTGGCACAAATGATGGTTATAGTTCATAGACCACCCCACAAGAATCTACATAAACAAAACAGTAACTGCATTATATTTTTAGTAGTTCTGGGTACAAGGAAAAATCATTTTTTAAACCTTAACTTACAGAAATAGTATGATTTCTTAAAATTCAAATTGTGTGAAGTTCCTGTTAATCTTCTGGTTTTATATCTATGCCTGATAATTTTTTAAAATTCTAATCTACTTACTGTTATTAAAGGAAAGGTATTTTCAATTTGTTTGATATGACATCTATCCTATATCAGAACATTCTGATATGAAATTGGTTGCTGACTCAAAGCATAATCAGTGATTGGGCAAAAGCAAAATTAAAAATATAACCCAAAGATACTTGTGTTAAATGTGATAAAACCTTCTTTGCTCATTTAGTTTTCATTAGCCACAATCATTCTCTTGTTGGAATTCTGTAAAAACACTCTCATGTATAAGAAAAAAGTCCAACATATTGAAGGCTAAAATGGGAATTAATGTCCTTCTTTCAGAAGTTAACATAGATCCAGGCATCCTGTACCTTACTAGTATTGTAGTCAAGGAATAAGATATATATGGGAGAGGAAAAAGCAACAATCTGCCAAAGAAGTCATCTGCACACAGAGAAGGCTCAGTGCATAATTTATGACTCAAGCATCTATTTTAAGGGTGAGAAAGTTGTCACATTTAATGCCTTCCTTAACTGGAAGTAAAAAATATGACCACCAGTTTGGCACTCAAACCTCCAATATTTTCCCACAATTTTTCAATTCATTTGTAAGACAGAAAAAGAAAATCCAGATATTATGAAAATCATGGGCCCCGCTTGTGTGGTTGGAGGCACTGTCTGACTGAAGATAAAGACAACACTTTCAGCAAAGCATTTAAAGAGCTGATGCTAACAGATGCCATAAGGCCCAGGCTGGTATAAGGAGGAGGCAGCCCCACTGAGGAAGGCGTCTGCAGGTAGAACACAGACAGGTAATGACTCCAAAGAAATCAGAGTATTCCTAAAACTATTTCCAAAGAGTGAACTGAATAACTGTAGGGAAGGAGAATTAGAGGAGTAGATGCACACACAGAAACACCAATCAAGGGAGCAGACCTAGATCTTGGTCTTAATAACCTTTTAAATAAAAGTCTGACTCTGTACCTCAGAGAATTGTATATTCTAAAGTTCAAAAGGAATGTGATAGAATAATTCAACAATTTAGAAGAATCTGTAAAAAGAAAGGTCATGAAACAACATTTTTCTAGTTCTATAGACTAATATCCATAACATATTAGAAACTTTTGGGAACTCCCTGGCAGTCCAGTGGTTCGGACTCAGCACTTTCACTGTGGGGAACCCAGGTTCAATCCCTGGTCAGGGAACTAAGATTCCATGAGGCCAAAAAAAAAAAAAGAAGAAGGAAATTTCTAAGTCTTCTACTGATATCTCCTATTCAATCCCTTCAAACTAGAAGAAATTTGATAGATTTGACAAAGTAACTGTAAGAAAAGAAAATTTACCAAAGAATAGACCACTATTAAAAAATAAATATACCAATCACTAATTTATAAGCTATCTAGCCCAGTTGCTCTACTCAAATTATTAATAGTTCTTAATCATAGGAAAAAGACAATGTTAAAACAAGCACACACATAGGAATCAGAATATCAGGATGTAAATATTTCTAAAAATTCACTGAAAAATGAATGTAATCTCACATAGTAAGCTTTTACCTTCATGTCAATTCAAACATAAGTGGTCTGTGGAAGAGGGGAATGATAAAATAGTCTGGTTTTAAGGGTGAAAGAGGTTAGGTTAGGCTTAGGTTGTTACAGAAGTTACTGATCAAACATTTCATTTGACTGATGAGATCTAAAGGAAACAGAAATCTTATAATGCAATTTCAGAAAGTAAATGTCAGAAAAAGAGGAAAAACAATTTTGATGCTACACATGAGAATGTGATATGACCAAGCAATGTTCAGAGAGGCCAGGGGACAATGAAAGATGATGTGAATTTATTTTATGGATTTCTACTCCAGAACTTTATCTGCTCACTTTGACCTTATCTCACCATTTTGAATTTAGTTTTATACTACTTTTCCAAAAAGAAAGAAGGAAAATCATGCCCATTTGGGAAATTTGTTCTATATACAATATATTTCACTACTCTACCAATCCAACTCCCCCCACCCACTTTTCCCTCTGCCCAAACTTAGCTCTACTCCATGGTTTCTGGATGTACTTAATCCCACTTTTCTGACTCTATTTCTTATTTTGAAACCCCAAGAAAATTGTTTGCATGATCTAACTCCTTACTGATATATTACTTTGTTAGTATTTTAAATCATGCTTATCCAATGTATGACTGCCTCTCTACCAGATTAAAATCATTCAGAAGATTGCACTCTCCATTTCTCTGGGATACTCAGTGTGTCTCTTTTAAGGTGAAGACTGTGTTACTACTTGTCCGCCATGCTCCTCTGACACACTGCTGACCTATGACTGAAGGCTCACCCGCCCCATCAGGTGCTCCACATCTTCCTGAGGTGTGGCTCCCCGTCTCAGGTCCTCATCCTTCCCCCTTCCAGCCCTGGTTCAAGTTATTCATGTGCACAAAATAATCTCCATTTCCCTGTTCATAATTCTACAATTAAACCATAGCTTACCATCTATTTCCTCTGGGAAAGCTCCCTGCTTTAACTCAACCCTTCCAATCATCATACGCAGCTGGCCAGGAGGATAAGCTCTGGACAATGAGAGGAATTTGGAATTCTAGGATCTCACTAAAACTCTGCGTTCAAATTTAACTTACCATTAGCGAATACTTACCACTAGTATTTGAATTTTGATTATAAAAACTGAGAAGCAAATATCATTCTTCCATTTCTCTTGGGAAAAACAAATTTTCTTGCAAACAGGTAAAATTTCATACCTGTTTTCTTTGCCATTATGAATTACTGAATGTCTATCAGCTGTAGTTCTTTCACTGCAAACATAAGTATTCCGCCGCGTCATTCCACCAGATGCTGTATTACTCTATTAAAAAAAAGGGCATTTTGGTCTTAAACTATTTAGTAAGTATAGTACAATAGGAAAAAAACCCCACCTAATTTAAATAAACGTGAATACTCTTTAAATAAACCTACACTAAAATATCAACAGTACTGGCCACTAGATCAGAGAAGAGGATGAAGGCAGCAGCCTCCACCCTCCTTCCTAGCCTCCAATGTTTCTGCAATAATGAAAGATGGCTATGGTAAAGTGACTCTGAAAAGCTGGCTATAATAATCTACAGAGTAATAACTCATGGATTATTTAAAACAAAGCAGACAGAGAGATCCACTATTTTTAAAAGGTAATACTTTCAAAGTAAAAAATTAAAAAGCAAGGATTATAAATATAAGGTAAATATACAAATAAAATAAAAAATAAAAAAATAAAAAGATAAAAATTAGGGTTAAAACTGTAAAACTATTAGAAAAAAATGGGTATATCTACATGACCTTGGATTTGACGAGAGATTCAGATAAGACACACACACAAAAATATGAGTAACAAAAAGAAAAAAATAAACTGGACTTTATCAAAATTAGAAACTTTTGTGCATCAAAGAACACTATCAAAGATGTGAAAAGAGAACCTACAGAATAGGAGAAAATATTTGCAAATCCTACATTTGGTAAAGGTTTAATATCCAGAATATATAACGAACCCTTACAACTCAACCACAAGATGACAAACAACCCAATTTAAAAATGGGCAAAGGACTTGAATAGACATTTTTCCAAAGAAGGCATACAAATGGCCAATAAACACATGAAAAGATGCTGAACATCACTGGTCATTTAGGAAACGCAAATCAAAACCACAATGAGGTACCACTTCACACACACCAGGATAGCTATAATTAAAAAAAACAGAAAATAACAAGTATTGGCAAGGATGTGGAGAAACAGAGACTCAAATACGGCAGGTGCGGTACACAAACTTGTACACAAATGCTTACAGCAACATTATTTATAATAACCAAAAGACAGGAACAATCTAAATGTCCATGAACGAATAAGAAGGTAAACAAACTGTGGCATATAAAAAGGAATGAGTTCACCTAACAACTTGGATGAACCATGAAAATATTACGAGTGAAAGTGAGTGAAAGAAGGCAGACACAAGAGGCTTGTATAAGTCCATTTATATGAAATCTCCAGAATAGGCAAACCTACTGGGAGAGAAAGCAGATTACTGGATGCCAGGGGCTGGGGAAGAGAGGATTGGAGAGAGTGATTACTTAATGAGCACAGGGCGTTCGGAAGTGTTTCAGAACTAGAGAGAGGTAGAGGCTGCACAACACTGTGAATGTACTACATGCCACTGAATAGTATGCTTCAAATGGCTAATTATATGTCATGTGAATTTCACATCAATTTGTAAAAAGCTAATACTTTCAAAATTAAAAAGCAAGGAATAAAAGTCACAAGTAAAAACTTTTATCAGATAACAATTTTAAAACAAAGATAAAAGCAGCCACCTTTAATACAACATGAGCAGATCATGTATAGGGAAGCAGAAGACAAGTGGGAGAAAATTATAACAACATACTTCTTTCCTTTATAAATAATCATATATGAGTGGCTAATAATGCTTGCGATATACTTTCAAAAGGGGGGTGGTGCAGATGAATAGAGTGAAGGAATGGAAGTTATGAAGGCAGGGAACAAAGTCTTTTTCTTCTTCTGGTAACTGTCAACAAAAATTGGAGGCTGCATTTAAATTGCAGGGCTATGGAATGACGATCCAATTTTACTGCATTAGGAAGCCAAATAAAAAACCTTTCCACACAGCGTTTACTCTGATAAAGCACAATGTCAAAGGATGGAACACACAAAACCTTCTGGGCTCCTTTCTAAGCCTCTCCCCAAGAAATGGCCAAAGGGAGCAGCACAGATTCCGTGTGGGATCCTCAGTTTGGGGTTTCTTTAGGGTAGAGGAAAGGCTTTGTCACCGCTAACTTTTAGGGAAAAATGTGGTTACAGAATATCCTTAAAATTGTTCATTCTCTGAAAGTTCTTTTTAAAATTACTTTTTGAGTCTTCCAGTTATAAAATAAGTAAGCCCTGGGGATGCAATGTGCAGCATGGTGACTCTAGTGAACAATACTGCAGTGCATATTTGGAAGTTGCCAAGAGGGTAAATCTAAGAAGTTCACATCACAAGAAAAGAATTCTGTAACTGTGTATGGTGACGGATGTTAATTAGACTTAGAGATCATTTCACAATAAATACAAACATCAAATCATGAAAAAAATTACTTTTGGAGTGCTAAGAATAATAATCACTATGTTAGGTCAGAGAGAACACATTTCAATTCACAAAGAAGTTGTTGAAACTGAATAGATTCAATTTAACAAATACTACCTACTTCCTAGGGAGATTTTGTTCAGGGCAGGGACTAAGAGACGGATTCGGTTTAGCAGTATAACTTCAGACAATTACCTAACTTTTCTTCAATTACTTCACCTTAACATTTAGCTAAGACATGAAAAAGCACTCAGCACGGTCCCTGGCACATGGTAAGGACTCAGTCAACACTCTGTATCAATAGAGCCCTTTGAGATGCAGGGCAAACACCAAATCCCTGGCAGTCAGAGCTCACAGTGCCCTGTACAGACTCCATCAGGTTGCTGTTTGCCATCACCTGTCTGCACTGTCCCCATTTGGTTTTATTCATTTCCTCTGTTAGATTATGACGTCTTTCCATATCTCAGCACCTGATACAGTCTGAAGTTTAGCAGATGTTTATGGAGTAACTAAAAACAGCCCTTGACATAAAGGATCTGATCACTCATCCAGTGGGATACGGCTCAACAAGAAATACGTGCAACAGAGCAAGTGATCCTTACAGGCTGAGACTGTGCCTGGTGGCCCAGTGGGTAGGGCTTTGTAGGCAGATGAACACACAGGAGCAAAATGTCTTATCATTTCAATCCTACAACCCTAGCCTGCCCTACAGTCCAACAATACTTACACCAGGGACGGTGGAGCTCTTCTTGCGTTCAGGAATATCTGCCTTGTTGGGATTACTTGCACTCCCAAGCATGGGACTGGCTGGAGCAACTCCCTTTCCTCCAGCAGCACTGCCGCCTGGTTTCCGGGAGGGAACTCCATCTTCTCTGAGGTCGCCGTCTGCAGTGCTGGTCTGACTCCTTTTTGGATACGCCACAACTGAAGGAATAGCTGGTCCAGCTAAAATACAGAGTTCACTTTTTAAAAGTCAGAATATAGTTTTATGTTTTATCCTGTGAAAATGAACACTTTATAAGATGACCCAAGATTTCTATTCATCTAAGAGAATATAAGACAGTAAAAATCTTCTAAGATGCTTCCCATTCATGTATAATGTCTTCCCTATGCAATGAATTCAATTTTATTTTATTTTTTTAAAATTACCTAACCACTTTAAAAAAATATATATATTTATTTTTGGCTGTGTTGACTCTTCATTGCTGCACGTGGGCTTTCTCTAGTTGTGGCGAGCAGGGGCTGCTCTTCGTTGCCGTGTGTGGGCTGCTCATTGCGGTGGCTTGTCTTGTTGTGCAGCACGGCCTCTAGGTGCACGGACTTCAGTAGTTGTGGCTCACGAGCTCTGGAGCGCAGGCTCAGTACTTGTGCCGCATGGGCTTAGTTGCTCTGTGGCATGTGGGATCTTCCCAAACCCGTGTCCCCTGCATTGGCAGGCAGATTCTTTTTTGGTTTTTTTTATTCCTTTTTGCAGGCAGATTCTTAACTACTGTACCACCAGGGAAGTCCTGAATTCAATATTAAAATTTCACTTATTAGTCCCTAACATTCTACTTTTTTTTTTTTGCGGTACGCGGGCCTCTCACTGTTGTGGCCTCTCCCGTTGCGGAGCACAGGCTCCGGACGCGCAGGCTCAGCGGCCATGGCTCACGCGCCCAGCCGCTTCGCGGCATGTGGGATCTTCCCGGACCAGGGCACGAACCCACGTCCCCTGCATCGGCAGGCGGACTCTCAACCACTGCGCCACCAGGGAAACCCCATTCTACGTTTTTAAAGTTGTTTTTTTTTTTTTAACTAATAAGCTTATATAGTTGTCTTTCTGAAACATGTTTACGGGGTGTTGCTGGACAGATAAATAATCAAACTAACTTGATGCATACACATCATGCAGAATGAACTGGTTCACCTGGTATCTATACATCTGAGTGAATTTCATCCTTTTTGTATAAGAGATGCCGTCACCTTTTGGAAAAGAACAGTACAGATTTACAGGCTCTTTCTTTTGAAGTTTTATCTTGCATCTTTTTTAAAGCACTCATAATCTTCTAGGTAAACAGGAATTTGAGTAGACAAGGAGAGGCAGTATGAGCAAAAGAAAGCATGTTTCTCATGGAAGTGACAGGGAGGACATGGGTGGATGTTCCCGGTCAGACCCCCTCCCAGGGGGAGGATGCCTAGGGACACCCCAGGTGGGCAATTAACTGATGTCCTGCAGTAAATCACCGAGAGACTCTGATGACACAGGAGATTCAGAGTTCAAAGAATTATGGAAATGAACGAGATAACTAGTATATTCATTATATATGACGTCCAGTGGTAATCTTAAGGAACAGCACCAAATGCTAATCATTTATGGTAGAAAAGCCTTTATATTTTAGGTCTATTAAAAAATGGATGGGAGGGGGAAGAGGGAAGGGGAGGGAGGGACTGGGAGCTTGGGGTTAGTAGATGCAAACTATTACATATAGAATGGATAAACAACCAGGTCTCATTGTATAGTACAGGGAATTATATTCAATATCCTGAGATAAACCATAATGGAAAAGAATATGAAGACGAATGTATATATGTGTATAACTGAGTCACTCTATTGTATAGTAGAAATTAAGACAACACTGTAAATCAACTATACTTCAACAGAAAAATAAATTATTAAAAAAAAAATGGATGGGGTGGGGTACAGAAAAGCTACTTCTAGGACAAAAATCCAAATGGTAAATCTAGGGAATTCCCTGGTGGTCCAGTGGTTAGGACCCTGTGCTTTCACTGCTGAGGGTCCAGGTTCGATCCCTGGTTGGGGAGCTAAGATCCCACAAGCTGCGTGGTGTGGTAAATAAATAAATAAATGGTAATTCTATTTGGAACTGAATTAAAAGTAAACAAAGATTTGATTTATGGGAGAACAATCAAGTTCTCAGTTTGGCAATTTTAACATATAAAACAAAGAATCAACCAAGTACAGGGTGATACTACCCTTAATACTTCTTTCCTCTCAATATCATGATACATCTAATGACATTCTGAATCTTTAGGGTTACTACCAATTTGTTCTGAAACATTTATTATTGCTATTTAGAAAATTGAAAGATTTTTTTTCATTTTAGGATCTGAGACTGTGCATGGAACAGCTACTGATACAAGCCGCTGACCTCATTCATTCAGACTGCTCCTGTTTTACTTGCACTGTGTGTTATGTGCGTGTGTATTCAGCTCTACACATTTTAATCACATGTGCAGATTCACGGGATCACCACCAGTCAAGACGAAGAACAGTTCTATCTCAAGGACCTTGTGGGCGACCCTAACACAGCCACAGCCATCTATCTTCCACCTCAAGTCCCTTCCCTAAATCCTGGCAACCGCCAATCTGTTCTCATCTGTGTAATTCCGTCATTTCAAGAATGTTATGTGAATGGAGTCAATGTAACCTTTTGAGATTGTCTCCCCCCACTCAGCATAATTCCCTTGAGATCCATCCAAATTGTTGTATTTATCAATAATTTGTTCCTTTTTTTTTGCAGTAGGCAGGCCTCTCACTGCTGTGGCCTCTCCCGTTGCGGAGCACAGGCTCCCGGACGCGCAGGCTCAGCGGCCATGGCTCATGGGCCCAGCCACTCCGCGGCATGTGGGACCCTCCTGGACCGGGGCACAAATCCGCGTCCCCTGCATCGGCAGGTGGACTCTCAACCACTGCGCCACCAGGGAAGCCCAATTTATTCCTTTTTATTGCTGAGTAGTGCTCCGTAGTGTGGATATATCACGCAAAAATGTGATTTTTCTTCTTTTTTTACTTTTGGGCCACACCGCACAGCTTGCAGGATCTTAGTTCCCTGACCAGGGAGTGAACCCGGGCCACGACAGTGAAAGTGCCTAGAGTCCTAATTAACCACTGGACCGCCGGGGAATTCCCCAAAATATGATTTTTAAAAAAATAATTTTTATTTAATTAATTAATTTATATATTTTGTATTTTATTTTAGGCTGCGTTGGGTCTTAGTTGTGGCTCGTGGGATCTTCGTTACAGCATGCAGGATCTTTTGTTGCGGCGTGTGGGCTCCAGAGCACGTTGGCACGCAGGCACAAGCGCACTCTTGTTGAGGCACGTGGGCTCAGTTGTTGTAGCATGCGGGCTTAGTTGCCCTGCAGCATGTGGGATCTTAGTTCCCAGACCAGGGATCAAACCCGAGTCCCCTGCACTGGAAGGCAGATTCTTTACTGCTGGACCACCAGGGAAGTCCCAGTTTCTTTTTTTTATATTTACACCTTTATTCCAATTGGAATCCAACCTTGTATAAGATGTGAGAAATGGATGCAAATTTATTTTTTTTCCTGATCACTACCAACCTCCCCAATACCAGTGACTGGTTAACAGAACAGTGATTCTTCACTTTCTTTTCTTTTTCTTTTTTTAAATAAAAGAACCCCTTGAAAATCTGATGAAGATCACCCTTCCTAGAAAAAAATGTACATACATACAGGGGGGTTCATACATGGGACCGAAATTAAGAAACACAAATAAAAATTAAGTTATGATTTTACAGAAGCAGGCAGATATAAATCATTGGCATCCAGAGGGAGGGAACAAGAGGAGAGATGAGATGGGGTGGGAGGGCAAGCTAAGAGTTGGTCTGTCTACAGGCTTGCCTGCCTTCACTTGGTACCAAGTGGATGTGCTTTACTAGATTTCATTATTTGGAACCTATCTCATTTTCAGCACTTAAATGAACAGTGCCAGAGGCATAATCAAATCTTTTTTTTTTGCTGACCACTGTCTTCATCCCCAAAGAATGTGGAATTGGGTCAGTGATTTTCTATATACAGAATATCTGGAAATGTTCTTTTGTGAACTTCTTTTTAATATCAGAGGCTCCAAGAAAGAAGGATGATTATTATTATAAAAGCACTACTATAAGAGGTAATGGGCGGGTTAGTGGACACAGCCATAGGACCAGGGACCAGGAATCCTGGGTCTGTCTCAGGCGTTCCCACTTCTATTTAACCTCAGAAGACCTGGTGAGCTCTCTTGCCCTATTTCCTTATTGCTAATATGGGGGTTTGGTGACCTCTTTTTAGCTCTAAAATTTTCTGAGCTGGGGAAAGGGACATGAGAAAACTCCACCACCAGGTTTCTTCCAGGATCTAGGAACAATTTCCTTTAAACTGGTTGATTTAGAGCAACACGTAGGCATTTTGCTAATTGCTCTGCAGTACACAGAAAACCCCTCCTTGTAAGCAACTAGTATGAACACGAGAGACAGAGACCCAGGATCAACACTCGGTTTACAAATGCCACCTGCACAAATCCTGGCATCAGACAGGTTCTGAGCTCTCAGTTACACCCTAGAAAATAGCAGACATATAGACAGTTTACTGACAGTGTCAGTACAATGTGCTGCTTTGGCCCAAACCACATAGAGAGGCAGCAGCAGCAGGGAGAGAAATGGAAACCAAAGTATCATCACTTTTGGTACAAAAACCAAAGCTACAGACACCTGGAATACTCTGTGCAATTCTAAGTGCCACATCTCAAGGTGAAAGAACGGAGGTGGACAAAGTCCAGAGAAGGGAAATGAACTGAACAAAGCGATGAATGGGTGTTCCATGTGAGGATGTATTTTTAAAAGTTAAGACCAGGCCAACATAAATTTGGTTCCTGCATGCTGGAATTAGAGGAAATAATAATATGTGAATAAACACACACCTACTAGAGTCTCTGGATTCCAACAAATGGGGCTGGCTTGAAGGTAGAATAACTGTCAAGTTTGGTAAGCATATCCTTTAGAGTCTTAAGTCTCATGAAATATTCACTTCTATGGTGAAAACTTTTAAGAGTGAGGGTGGTTAGACACAACAACAGCTAGAGTGTGGCTGAGAAAGACACATGTCAAAAATTTAAACCAATTAAGGCAAAACTGGGATACTATACATTTTCCAGGGCTGTGCTGTCCCATGTGGTAGCCACTGGCTGCACAGGGCTTTATAAATTTAACTGAGACAAAACTGAAAATCGTTTCCACAGTTCAAGTGCTCAACAGTCACATGTGGCTCAGGCTTCTACCCAGCCAGGCCTTACCCAATAAAAGCCTACTGAGGGACTTCCCCGGTGGCACAGTGGTTAAGAATCCGCCTGCCAATGCAGGGGACATGGTTTCCATCCCTGGTCCGGAAAGATCCCACATGCTGCGGAGCAACTAAACCCGTGTGCTATAACTACTGAGCCTGTGCCCTACAGCCTGCAAGCCACAACTACAGAAGCTTGTGCTCCTAGAGCCCGTGTTCCGCAACAAAGAGAAGCCACCGCAATGAGAAGCCCGTGCACCGCAACGAAGAGCAGCCCCCACTCAATGCAACTAGACAAAGCCCGCGTGCAACAACGAAGACCCAACGCAGCCATAAATAAATAAATAAATTAAAAAAAAAAAAAAAAGCTTACTGAGTGTACCAAGGAGATCAGAGCCTTGAGATAAATACGCCAGAACCTGCAGGACTGCTTTGAAAGACATGTCAAGAAGGGAAAGCAAGCAAATCCAACCCCCGTAGTCCATAAGCAAAAGGATGCTTCCCAGTGTTAGGAGGCCTCTTGGTTAACGGGAGACTGAGAGAACACACTGGAATGGTCTCAAACTTACCGTGGTCACTGTACCGCCTCTGCTTCTGGCTTGAAGAAACACTTCTCTGGACTTTGTGGTGAGGAGACTGGCCAGTACTGTTGTTGAGGTCACTGCTTGGCCTAACCTTAGCAAGTGAAAGATTGCTGCTAGAACTGGAATCACTAGCATCCAGCTAAGAGAAAATGAGAAAAACAGAGCAAACCACAACACGAGCCCAAATGGTTTATTATGAAACTAAACTTACAATACACAAACCTCTCATAAGTAGTTCACTGAGAGAGAAGAATCAGTGTACAAAAATGACAACCCTACCGCAATGGGAGAGGCCACAACAGTGAGAGGCCCGCGTACCGCAAAAAAAAAAAAAAAAAAAAAAGACAACCCTAAACTCAGGCAAAAGTATTTTTCTGACTGCTGGAAAAACTCACACAAGGATAAATATTTATGTTCTTCTTTCCAGGCTTTTTCAAAAAACTTAAAACGGTCTATTTATTTCATCTGATACTTTACATTATTTAAAAACTACTAATGACTATAGGTTAACCTAATGGAAGCCAAATTATTAAAGGTTATCTTAAAGTTAAAATAGCATCTCATAATAGTCATAGGACTTAGATTAGTTATTTGAAGGTAAATTTAAAAATATTATCAAATGTTATACACACTAAAAAAAACTAAGTTTACATGAGCTAATAATTCACAAAAAGGATATTGTAGGTTTTTATCTGATTATTCTTACCTCTGAAGATTTTCTCCCCAACAACAAGTATGTAGCTGTGATTTCATCATATTTCATCTTACTAAGAGATTCTTGAATTTCGTCTTGTGAATATCCCATTCCCACCATAATATCTAAAAGAAGGGTATAATATAGTTTATGTGTTTTGTTTGGTTAAGAAATCATTATCTTACAGGGTAAAATAATTTCCTTTATTTGACCCAAAAGATCACACATTTTCTAACATAAACGGGCAGTTGGCTTATTTCTGAGTTACTGAGTGCTATTACAGGAAATTGCAGATAAGTTCCTAAATATGACAAAACATATAAGCTGATTCATGTAACTTATACTTAACTTCCCATTATCCCCATTTTAGGCATACACATATGAATCAAAACAGAAATATGCTACTTGTACACACACCAACATGCAGGCACAGAATAATTACCTATTCTTTTCTGGTCTGAGATGTCCAGTTCTGGTTCAACAAATGGTTTTAGTTCATCTTCCTCATGCCCTGCATTGATCCACCTGTCCTTCATGATTTGCTGAAAGGTGAACTGTTCATTAGCAGCATAAAATGAAACATTCTGATAATCACAATACTTAGGAAAGTTTATTTTCAACATTTCATCGATTATGGCTCAAAGGGTAACTTTTAAAAAATGTCTCAATGTTACCCCAGGATAGTATTCAATACGTCATACAAACCAAGCAAAGTTCTAAAAATACTTTAAAGACGCTCCAAAGTTGTTCCTTATTTCCACTTATGAGATTACCTCTAGAGTGCCTCGTTTTATTGGATTTAGCACCAGGAAACGTTTGAGAAGGTTTTCACAGTCTGTGGACATGTAGAAAGGGATTCTGTATTTCCCTCTTAATACTCTCTCTCTCAGTTCCTTTGGGGAGGCAGAGAGGAAAGAAAACTAGTGAGTCAACTTTTAGGTTAAAAAAGAACTCAAAGAACCCCACTGAAACAACATTAACACATTAACTCTTATCATTTTATAAAATCCTTTTAGCTTTCTGAAGAACGTGGATGCAACCACTTCTTATACCTTTAGGTTCTGTCCATCAAAGGGGAGTGACCCGCTGACTAGAGTGTAAAGAATGACGCCGAGGCTCCACACGTCCACTTCCGGCCCGTCGTATTTCTTGCCCTGGAAGAGCTCTGGGGCTGCATACGGAGGACTGCCACAAAACGTATCCAGTTTACTGCCAACAGTAAATTCATTGCTAAAACCAAAGTCAGCTATTTTAATGTTCATATCAGCATCTAACAATAGATTTTCAGCCTAGAGGGAAAACACCAAGACAAAAATGAAATTTAACCAAAATATAATCAGAACTGTGATAGAATCAGGCATTTCACAAAAGCTTTTTGTAATGATGTAAAGTTAATATATACTAATGAATAAGAAAACATTCTTTCTAGAGAAAAAAAATAGGAGCTAAATCAGAATTCCTCATTTTTCAGCATTAATAACCAGTAACATATATGAGGTGTAGTCATCCCTCAGTCTTCTTAGGGGACTGGTTCTAGGACCCCCTGTGGATACCATAATCCATCATCATACAAAACAGTATAGTACAGCCAGCCCTCCTTAGCCACAGATGCAGAACCCGGGGATATGGAGGCCCGACTGTAAAGACTGATTCTAGCACCAATTATGCAGCAAATGTCCACGATCAATAAAATCTTCAAAGAGCTTTTTGAGAATAAGGGGCTTTTAAAAAACAGATACTTGCTTTAGGTGGAGAGCCGCATTTCATAACACTGCTAAGTAAGCTGCGTAACGGCCATCACTGAGGAGGGAGCATCCAAAACTTCATTCAAGATAGAGATCACAGTCTTTTCCACTTGTTTCAACAAACATCTACCACGTGGCAATTACACACCAGGTGTTATATTAGTGTCTGGATATATAGACAGACAGGGTCCTGCCCTCAAAAAGCTGACAATTTAGAAAAATAAGCAGCTACACTCTTGGCCCTAACTGCTGTGACGGAGAAGTGGGGAGTCATGGGCCCAGCACTGAAAGGTATGGTACGGCTTCCTAGAGGGGGTGAAACTAAAACCACTGCCTGGAAGATTAGTTGACAGTAGTGGGTGTGTTAACCGGAGGCATTTCAAGCAGAATAAACAGTGTGAAAACCCTGCTGAGACAGAACACGTTTTCCTCAAGAAACTGAAAGGCAGTGTGTGGTAGAGAGATGCAGAGAGACACAGCTGGGGATGTGGCCATGTCTGAATTACAAAGGGCCAGCCAAGTGACTTGTAGTCAAGAAGTTTGGGTTTGTAACCTAAGGGCAACAGGAAGCCACTGAAAAAGTCATTCAAGCGGGAAACGACAATCCGTGGGCCTCTCACTGTTGTGGCCTCTCCCGTCGCGGAGCACAGGCTCCGGACGCGCAGGCTCAGCGGCCATGGCTCACGGGCCCAGCCGCTCCGCGGCATGTGGCATCTTCCTGGACCGGGGCACGAACCCGCATCCCCTACATCGGCAGGCGGACTCTCAACCACTGAGCCACCAGGGAAGCCCGGGAAATGACAATCTTATTTGTGTTTTTAAAGGACCATTCTGGTTACAATGTAGGAAACAGACATGGAAGAAAGAGGCAAAATTGGAAGCAGGGAAGACCAGGCAAGAGGCTAGTGTAGTAATCAGGTACGAGATATGCTGGTGGTCTGGACTAGGAGAGTGTGAGTGGGGACAGAAAAGAGTGAGCTCAAGTGATACTCAGGAAACAGCAGCAAAAAGACCTGGGGTCTGAGTGGACGGCAGAGTAAAGGAGAGAGAGGCACCTGAAGGACAGTCACCACAATGAGAAATAAAAATTCAAGTTTAGGAAGGAAGAGTTTAGGTGTTGAACTTGCTGAACCCGAGCTACCTGAGGGATGCTGACGTGAAGGTGTCCTTTTGTCAGCTGGACACTAAATCCTAGAAGAGAGCTCTGGCTGCAGGAATGGATCTGGGGGTCATCAACATATAGGTGGCCACTGCAGCTACTGGAGTGGATGTGAATGCAGCAAGGGTGGGTGAACAGAGAACAAGCAAACTGATAACAGTTATGTGAGGGGAGAGAATAAGTGAATATCAAGTTAAGAAAGAATCTAAACAATGTTTAGAGAAATACAGCTGTGAAGGTGAAGAGGAAAAAAAGGGTGTACCAGGAAGGGGAATCGGGGTGGGGAGGTTTTTTGGTAAAAGAGGGTATAAACTTGAGCATGTTTTTATACATGCTGCTAGTGACACGCCAGCAGAGAGAGAGAGGGCAGATGAAGAAGGGAGAGATGGGAGGAAACAGAGTGAAGCACCCCCTGGAGGGACACAGGACCCAGAACACAGAGGGAGGGACAGCAGAGGCACCCCGCTGTCCTGTAACAAGAGGGAAATCCTGAAAGGTTAAGGGTGGATGCAGGTGCAGCTGGGAAAGGAGTCTCTGCCTGGTGTTTCTATTTTCTCTGTGAAATAGGAAACCTTACCCTATGCCAGGAGTGTGGGCAGAGGTGGAGAACCGTGAAGTAGGTCTCATTTAAATAACGCTGCTGTTAACAGGAGAGAATGCTGACTAGAAAAACAGAAAAGGATGCCAGGCAGCACTGAGGACACTGTCCAGGTGAGAGCGTGCATTTCTGGAGGCCCCCATCTGTTTGGTGGTAGGATGATTTTTCTCCAGAGACCAACTATGAGCTGCCTTAACTGAAATGTAAAATATATCTTAGGATTTTTTTTTTAATTTAATAACACAGTCTAATCTATGCCTCCTTTGTGTCATGAGCACTGGGAGAACTGAGCACACACAAGGAAAGTGTACAATAGTAAGGGCATTATGACTCACCTTGAGGTCTCTGTGGACGATCCGCTTTTGGTGGCAGTACTGGACTGCAGACACTATCTGGACAGGAGAGATGCAAGGTTATTAGTCATCGCTGGTGCAGACTACTCAGTGAGCACTCACTTCAATGTCTGTGTGGATCTCTAAATATAATTTTCTCATGCTTTGGACTTTTCAATTTGGAGAGATTGAGAGTGAGTGCAAGAAGAGCTAAGTGAGGCTGTTCTTCTGTTCTTTCTAATTTTAACTAGAAAGTCTCTTCTTGAGCCCTGCCCCAAATCAGAAGGCTCTGGTGCAACTTCTGCATGCCCACGTTGTCAACTCAAAACCAAGCCGGCAGTTACGGACTATCCGCGCTGGGTGTTTATCCAGGTTGGTTCTCCCCAGCCAGTCCCTACAACACTCTCTTCCTTTTGGCTAATGCAGGTTCAAGAACAGCAAAAATGACTTCACTTCTCTGAGGACCAGTTTCCTCTTCCTTAAAATGGAAGGATGAATGTTGTAGTGTATGTGAACTACAAACTATGGAAACTATTATGTGCTTTATCAGTAAGAATCCCTCCTGCTCTCAGCAAATGATATGCTTTCATTTAGTCAACTTTTGATTACTCCTGGGATTAGCGCTGTTATTATTATTTTTTTGGCTGCGCTGTGCAGCTTGTGGGATCTTAGTTCCCCAAGCAGGGACTGAATCTGGGCCCTCGGCAGTGAAAGTGCAGAGTCCCAAACACTGGACTGCCAGGGAATTCCCTGATTGGCACTGTTAAGTAACTGCTCTACTGAAATTTCACACTTACTAGCAATTTTTAAGTCTCCTTGTCTAATTATAAAACTTTTATATCCTTATTATAAAAACTTTAGGAAATACAGAAAAGTACATACAAGAATATGCTTTTATAACCAGCAAATAGAGATGACATCTGTTATTCTGGTGCATTCGCCTCTGGTCTCTACTTTGGTATTACATATGTGTATTTAAATATATATGATTACACATCTACAAAACTGGTGTTATAATGAAAATACTGCTTGTTTCTCCAAATCATCATCAACTTTGTTGTAAGCAACATGCATGTAACTGCACTGGACACAAAAACTCAGAGAGGGCTGTTCTATTGGTTGCCATTTTGGTTCAGAATAAGCAGCAAGGATAAGCTGGGCTGGGGTTAGGGTGGGAATGATGCCAAAATCAAGGCTTCACTGAGCAGCTTCACACCTTATGAAGTGCACATGCAGAAGACCAGCCCACTCATAATCAACTGAAGGTACACAAATCCCAATGCCAAAATAGCAGTTTTAAGAGCATCTGTTAACAATTACGCCGTTCTATATCGTCAGCATGAAAATTGGGGAAGTGAAATAGCGATAGATTTGTTTCCCTCAAAGTAACAGGTTTATTGCCTAGGAAGGACATAGGTAAATTTTATCTTACTTCTGCCTGATCAAATTTTCCCTGTTCCCCCCAACCCAGCCCCCATATTGAGATTTCTCTCATAGGTTATTTTCAAATTCTGCTTCCGAACCAGATTTGACAATGTCCTACCCTTTCTCAAAGAGAATTTCTCTTCTTTTACCTCCAAACAGCTCAAAGCTAACCTGATGCCACAATAACCTGAAAGTACTCAACTTTCAATTATTGCTTTTTTGCTTTCTGCTTTTAAGGTAAAAGCAGTTGTTTCCAAAGAAGGCTGACAACCCAGATGTTTCCCAGGTGAAATAAGAATGCACGCCTAATTCACTTCCAGCAACACATGAAAGAACAGAGGCAGCAAGACCAGCAACCCACCCAGAAAGAGCTGAGGAAAGAAGACGGAGCCAGGAATCTCTTCTCTCTCTTTGAAAAGAATGAGAGCTCAGCCAGCATAAATTAAAACAGCATAAACAGTAACAAGGATGAGAGTGGGGAAGGAAATTGGAAGAGGGAAAGCCATCTGCTGATGAATATGGAAAGAAGGGCCTATTTTTGACAGAAAACAGATCAAGCATAGTGTACTCTTGTGTGTGGCATACCTTTCTCTTTGTAATAAATAGGAAAACTTTCTATTTCATCAAATAACGACATAAACTTTTGGAAGGCATGGCAATTAGAAACAGAGAAAAGTGGAAGCACCAATATGCCTGATCCTTCCAGGTTTAGTAAGTAGACTTAAGGAAATACTATGGCAGGAGAAAAGATTACATTAATTGTAAGCACTGTAAATCAAGCCAGCAATTGTACAAGTACATAAACCCTCTTCCCTGGACCAACTAGCAGGTCCCTCCAATAACGCTTCAGAATTGCGGCAGGAAATTAAGAAGATGTGTGATAAATGCCCAAGTATCCCTCACAAGTCAGACCCCCGCCTGGGGGATGGCGGAGACGGAAGGAGAGAGGACAGGTCCAAGCACTGAACTGCTTCCCTGCAGACAGTCCAGGCTCAAACCTGCTGCTGCCGGCTGGCAAGGGCCTTTTCCTCACAGTCAATAAATCATATTTGCATAAACATTTGCAAGTCAGATAGCTTCATCCGAGTGGGAAGGAATTTCAGTTTTATGAAGCAAAAAAATCTTGACTTTTAGGTGGCCAATTTATAAAAATTAAGAGTACAGTTATGGAAAGGGCCAAACAGACTTGTTTTGTAATAAAGAGAAATTTGAGCTTCCTTCCGTAGACCACAGGATAAAATGATATCAGAACTGGAAAGGATTTCAGAATTAATCAAGTATAATTTCCTCTTTTTATAGCTAGAAAAACTGAGGATCAGAGAATTTAAATGATGGCCAAAGTCAATTTCAACTTTGATATTTAACAGGCTTTAACTCAAAGTACCATTGGTACTTTTAAATCAAATTAAATTTAAGCAACAGCAAAAGTTAAGAAATTTATTTGTAAGTCCTTAACTGTAAACACTAGACTAAGCAAATCAAAAGAGGCAACTGTTAAGAGAAATCTTGAAAATTGGTTAAACTTGCCTTTCTAAATACTGTGAAACCCTTAAAGACTCCTATCTGTACTTCTACCTTAACAACCTTAAATGTTAATAAAACAAACATTTAAAGGTTCTGAGAGAAATGAGGCTATACTGCCATTTAAATACAGAACTTAAAACTATGGGAGGACAGCGTTAATTTAGAAGAAATAAAGTACCTGCTCCTTCCTTTATCTAAATCAGGGGTGGGTAAATTATGGTCTGTAGGCTCAATCTGGCCCACCACTTGTTTTTGCAAATAAAGTATCATTGGGACACAATCATATGAGTGTATTTATTCACATATTGTCTAAGCTGCTTCTGTGCTACTACAGCAGAGTTAAATAGCTGCAACAGACTGTATGGCCTACAAAGCCTAAAATATTTACTATCTGGCACTTTACAGAAAGAGTTTGCTGATTCCTAATCTAAGTAAGACCACATCATAATGATTAAGAATTTTAGACCTGTCTCTGACCCAGTGGTAGCTTTCCTACTTGCCAGTCATCAAATTTTGGGCAAATTATTTAGTCTTCCTGTGCCTCAGTTTCCTTATCTTTAGCAAATGGGCATAATACTCTTTACTCACAAGGCTGCTCCAAGATTTACATTAATGTAGGTAAAACACTTATCCCAATATTTAGCAGGTAATGATCAATCAATAAATAGTAATTGTTATTAGAGAGTTAAGTCACCTTTATGCTTAAAACCTATTTATTAAAATGAGTGTCTCTTTAAGGCCATGTGGTAAAGCAAGCAAAAAGGTAAGCCATTAATTCACAGGTTAAGTTCTGTTTGGTTTTGGCTTATATAAGACAAAACTGATAATGAATTGTGCCACTTCTTGCTAAAACTTGGGGATGGTTTTCTTTAATGCAATCTCAAGTGTTTGCAAGGCTCTTGTTTTTTAAGGCTCAACTGTCAAAAAACTAAGGCTAAGAGTGGGACTAAAAAAACCCACAAGAGTGGGACTAAAATTTCAATTACAAAGCTAGAACTAGAACCCATGGTTGCCTCTAGCACAGTGCCTTAGGCATGAAAGCACTTAATAAATTTTTGTTGTGTTGAACTGAATGGCCAAACCCTGATCCATTCTATGGGCCTTATGACATTTATAGAGACAAACACTTGTTTGCTTCAGGGTTTAAGCAAGAAAACATATTAAATCAATAAATTAAAGGTGCAGCAATCCATACCTGTCTAAATTTAGCTCTTGCTTCTTTTTCCTTCATTCTTCCATGTGCAACCAAATAGTCAAACACTTCACCTATAATTGAGAGAAATAAAAGTAAGCAGAAGTCCTACCTCTGAGCATTAACTTTCCCATAAACTGAAAATGTTTCACTTTTAGCGATGCTCTAATTTTAATTTTTTAAATTTTATTTATTTATTTTGCGGTACGCAGGCCTCTCACTGTTGTGGCCTCTCCTGTTGCGGAGCACAGGCTCCGGACGCGCAGGCTCAGCAACCACAGCTCACGGGCCCAGCCGCTCCACGGCATGTGGGATCTTCCCAGACCGGGGCATGAACCCGTGTCCCCTGCATCGGCAGGCGGACTCTCAACCCCTGAGCCACCAGGGAAGCCCGCTCTAATTTTAATTTTTAAAATATAGGTATGAAGATAAACAGAAATATGTGGAATCTGAACTAACTTAGCCTTAACGATAGGCAAAGTTTATAGATAAAATCTTTTAAGCTAAAGATAAGCCTTAACATTAAATTCTCATGTTTAAATTATAAAACTTTTATTTTAAAGGTTATGTTTCCAGTATGCTTTAATAAAAACCTGGCAATGAAAAGTGAAAGTTAAAATGGTTAAGTGATTTGTGTTAAAAGATGTCTTCACTATAGGACCATGACAAAAAAGCATTTCCTGAATATACTCATTCATTCAACAAATAATTATTGAGTGTCTACTAACTGCTGAGAACCGTTCTAGGCTCTGGGGAAACATAGCAGTGAACAAAGCAAAGTCCTTTTCCTCATGGAGTTTACACTCTAGGAGGGGGTAGACAGATAATAAACAAATGAATATACAGTATAGAAGATGATAAAAAGTACTGTGGAGAAAAGTCCGGGGAAAGAAACAGGAAGTGTGTTTGTGTGTGTAAGCATTGTGCTGACTACTGTGAGGGAGTGGACACTAGTTATCTGGGAGAAAGATTCTAGACAGAGACAAGAGCAAGGAGGCCACGAGGCTGGAGAAGCGTGAACAAGGGAAAAGGGAGGTAGTGAACGAGCACAGAGATGATAGGAGAAGCGAGAACAAGAAGCGTCCTGTGGGTGCTGTTCTAAGTGAGAGGAGAAGCAGAGGAGAATATGAAATGACTGGCTTCTGGCTGCTAGAGGGAGAAGAGGGTTAGGGCTGAGGAAGGGACCGGGAAACCGAGTGGGACGAGCGCAATATTCAGGACAAGAGAGAGGGTGGCCGGGCCTAGAGTGGGAAATGGCAGTGGTGCTGACAAGTGCGGAGATTCAGGACACAGCGCAAAGGAAAAGCCAATAGAACTCACTGGTGGACGTCTAGGTGGTAGTTTACACAGTATTAATTCCTCAGGGAAGAGAAGTGACATTTCAAGGAACCTATCAGTACTGCCAATTGCTTATCAATTTGGAGTAAAGAAACACCTCTGAAATCAACAGAGAGTACTAATTTAGCAAACTGGATATAAAATGTGTTTGGGAAAAAAATCACATTTACTTCATACAAATAAAGAATATTTCCATCAGCTTAGTGACAACAGTTAACTAAAATATTTTGATACTTAAAAAACGCTTAGTTTCAGGACTTAAATATTGTTGAGGAAAAGGTTATTCTGAACTGTACATTAATATCTCTGACTTAAACTTTTAGCCCTAACTTTGAATAAATTTTAAAATAATAAATGGGTATAAATATTTTCAAGTTATCACTGACTGCCTAATGATCTTTTAAAAGGAATTACCTATTGTTAATTTACACTACACAATTCATTTAACTGTGATGAATTATAAAATTAAATGTCAGCTCAGTAAAATGTCAGTATTTTCTATGAGAATGACCTTTCTATTTGCAGAATAATATACTATATCAAAACAAGTGGTTAAAAAGTGAAAACAAAGATGCGTGCATAACATATGGAACAGTTTTGACTTTTTAGAAAAACGTAATGGATTAAACCCAGTAGTTGTAGAGTCACACAGATAAAGTCAAAGTCTGTCAATATAATTTGAAGATATTTTAAAATTCAAATGCAATATAAACCTGTTAAGAGATTTTGGAACCATACACTCACAGTCACTAAGTTATAAACCAGAAATACAACCCAGATCTCTTATTTTTCCCCTTATTAAAAATGCATTAACACTCAGATTAAGCAGCTGAATTGAAAACCTCTCAAGGCTATTATTTATTAGGAGAAAAAATTGCAAACACTGGCTCTCCCTGCCCAGGTCACGGCCCATGTGGTTGATGAAAGGACACTGGACAGGACAGTTCAGAAAGCCGTTGGTTTTAGTTCAGGTCCTGCCACTATAACCAGTGATGAAACCACTGGCATAGAAAAACCATTCAGAGCTTTAGGTTCATCTGTAAAAATTAGGCAATTGCCCTGGATGACTTCTAAGATTCCTTCCAATTCTAAAATTCCATGATTGTACCAAATTGAAAAATACGAGGCTGGGGAGGAGTAGGTAACCATTTTTTAAAAAAAATTTATTTATTTATTTAGGCTGCGTAGGGTCTTAGTTGCGGCATGCGGGCTTCTTGGTTGTGGCATGCAGACTCTTAGTTGTGGCATGTGAACTCTCAGCTGCGGCATGCATGTGGGATCTAGTTCCCCGACCAGGGATGGAACCTGGGCCCCCTGCATTGGGAGCACGGAGTCTTACCCACTGGACCACCAGGGAAGTCCCTAGGTAGCCAATTTAATGAAACGTTTGTTGTTCAAAATGGCAAACGTATCAACAATAAAACAGCTGCCCTGGAGATGGTGCTTTGTTGAGCTGATTAAAACAAATGGCCCAAGCCAATAAACCACCACCACCACCAATCAGTGCTGTTATAATGCTGAGCGACGGCACCGAGCCCTCAAAGGAGGGCTGTGCTCCCATGCCCAGTAAGAAGCTCAGAGACATGTAACTTATGAGGTCACACTGCCAATGACAGGCACTGGCTGGATCGACTCCATGTCTGTCTTTTCTGGAGTCCATCCTCATCCTGGATGGACACTTCTCAGATTCTCAGATGTTTCTGACTTCTCCTACACAGAGCAATCTCTAGGACCTGGTACCTAAAAGAGATGGGAACGGAAAGCCGTGACTGACTGACCAATCAGTAGAGGCTATATGGTGTCGGAAGGCTGGGCTCCAGGCCTGGCAACATGACCACAGTGAGATTTCCCAGCCTCCAATTCCTCAAGGGTAAAAGCCCATCGCTCACTGCTTGGCCACATCACCGAGGCATTGTGAAAGTCAAAGGAGACCAGGTAAGAGAAAAAAGCACTTGTACACTGCAGTGGCTACACAGATGAAAAGATTATGAACCGTAAGATGAGTAGATAGCATTCAAACTCCGTATAGACTTATGGTTCTACAATTAACCTTCAGCTCTTCCTACTGCTCAACTGCGAAAATCCCAACTAAATTCTCAAACCATACATTTAAAAGATGAAGCACACAACTAATTATGAATTAGAAGTATGAAAAAGTGGTGCCAGGGGTGTGCCTGCTCTGCCCACAACAGGTTTACAATCTTTTATTTAATGGTTAACTCACCACAGTGAGGCTGAGATTCAACTTTCTGTCTCCAGGTTCTGCATCCTGGATCAAAGTGCTAACAAAACAAAACTCTACTATAATCAAAACAATTTAATCTCTACTGTAGAGTTAAATAGAGTATGTCTCCAGTAGTTTATAATTTCATTAATTCAGTTCAATTCTTATTTGCTGAGTATCTGCTATGTGCCAGGCACTATGCTAGAGACAGGGAACATACAAAGACAAACAAGAAAGCTTCTGCCTTTCACAAACAATGAAAACTCACACACAGTCCAAAAACTACAAGCATAGCCCAACAATAACCCTAAAATAAAAATCTTTGTAAAAGATAACAGCGATATACATTCATTTCATAAAACTGTCTACATGTATACAACCTTACAGGCAAATAATTACCAGTCCTTAATCTTTATTTTAGGGAAGTCTAACCATAAACACGGTGAACACCATTTCTGGCCTTGGGAAATGATGGACACCAATGACAAAAATCTGATAAAGACATTCATCCAACATGCAGTACACATTTATTTCAAATAGGCTAATGCACTGACAGTTTTGAAAATTCAAGTACTGGAACAAACAAAATGTGCTATATACACACAATGGAATATTATCCAACCTTGATAAGGAAAGAAATTCTGACACAGGCTACTAAATGGATGAACCTTAAGGACATTACGCTAAGTGAAACAGGAAGTCACAAAAGGACAAATATTGTATGATCCCACTCATATGAGGTCCCTAGAGTAGTCAAATTCATACAGAAAGAAAGCAGAATGGTGGTTGCCAGGGGCTGGGTGGAGGGAGGATGGGGAGTTACTGTTTAATGGAGACAGAGTTTCATTTTGGGAAAATGAAAAAGTTCTGAAGATGGATGATAATGGTTAAAATGTGAATGTACTTAATGCCACAGAACTATACACTTGAAATGGTTAAAACAGTAAATTTTATGTTATACCATAATAAAAAAAATCCAAGTATTTGCTTATTATCAATTAATGATGCTAATAATGAAACACTTAATAGCAACCCACAGAACTGCTAGGAATCAGCCTTCCTGATTCTCATTCTAGTGTATTATGATTCTGAATGTTAAGTGAAACTTTAACGATTATCCGTGTGGGCTGTGTGGTTGTGTATTCTTCTAAAAGGGAAGAAAGAAAGAAAAACAATTTATAAATTTCTTACCTCCACTGGCATACTCCATGATTAGGTAGAGTGTTTTGTCAGTTTCAATGACTTCGAATAACTTCACTAGGGGAGGGGAGAAGATACAGGAGAAAAAGAAACAAATGTCCATATGCACAGTACTATGTACATATAAACTATAACTACAAAAAGTAACTTTTTCCTGTTAAAGATTTTAATAGCTGGCCCTCTAAAAAAATTCTTTTAGGAAAATTTATAATATATTACAACAGCAGAAAAGATTTTATAAAAACATGGAATTCCATAAAAATAAACATAGTTTCTGGGTGCTCAAACGGTGTAACTTCAGGATGCACTCAGCAGTCTAGTGAAGTGTATCTGCTCTCATTTCATCCTCCTGTATTACGTCTATATCTGTTCTATTCCTAAAAGTGCAAGTCCATTCACTTGTCATTATGGCTTTAAGGATACATATAATTCCACTTGAGACTTCTATTGCTTGGGAAACATCACAATTCTCAGAGAACAAGGTCCTTTTGTTTCTTTTCTTTTTCTTAAAGATGTATTTTATTTTATTTATTTATTTTTTTTGGCTGTGCCATGCAGGATCTTAGCTCCCCGACCAGGGATCCAACCTGAGCCCCTGGCAGTGAGAGTGTGGAGTCCTAACCACTGGACTGCCAGGGAATTTCTAAGGAGGTTCCTTTGTTTCTATTCTAAAGCCAGAGATGGCAAAGTAGAAGGGATTATACTATAAATAATTGAAAAGAACTTTTTAAAAAGAATTATTTTCAATGGGTCAGTGTGACTACTATAGCAGTCTCTTGTTACAGATACAAATAATATTTCTATTACTGCTAATTCATAAAACCATAACAAATCAATCAGAAATATAAAAATTTTAAATGAAACTGAAGTTACTCTCTCAAGCTATCAAATCACTATCTCCTGTATCTACTTTGGTAATACATACTTTACAATTAAATTTAGCAAAAAAGGGAGCAGGGAGGGAGAATGCTAATCTCTTATATTGTGGGTTATTTTCTGATGCTTTAACACAGAGTATTAGATCAAATAAAGTACCTTACACAGTATTGGATGTGTTTGTTGAACTGGTGAATAAAAGTATCATATCATTTTTAAGATGATATATGTTCAGGCTGTTAAGAAAAATTATTTAAAGAAATTTAAGGCATATATGCTGGTAAACCATCAACATATAAATAACAGCTTTCTAAAATTCCAATGCAAGGGGAATTCCCTGGCAGTCCAGTGGTTAGGACTCCTAGCTTCCACTGCAGGGGGCTGGGGTTCGATCCCTGGTCAGGGAACTAAGATCCTACAAACGACGTGGCCCGGCCAAAAAAAAAAATAATAATAAATAAAATTAAATTAAATTCCAATGCAAATACTGGCTCTTTTGCGTAAACTATTTTAATCCAATGGGAATTTAAATTTTTTAGAAATTTACATTTTCAAAGATGTCATTTAGTAGTAAGTATAGAGAACTCTAATCAGGGTACAACGTAAGTAATTAAAAAACAAAACAAAAAGGTTTAAGTTAGCTAGTTCTTGGCAGTATTTTTTTGGCGGGAAGTTGGAATTTGAAATCCAGAGTTAGCTAGCTAGTTCCCTATTGCTTTAAAAATATGATTCAATATACCAGTATTTTCTTAGGAACACAGCTAGAGCAGAAAGTTTTACACCTTTGAAAATCGTAACTCTAACTTACTATAATTCCCTCTTCTCTATCTATAAATTAAGTACAATTATGACATTTTCTAATATATTAAAAATTAGAAAATTATAATCTGATTACATATGTTTCTACTGAATTAAAGCTTTACATTAATCTTTTAACCTATCTTAGTAATTTCAAAAAGTTAACAAAAATGATCAATATATATATACATATATATTCTAAAAGTGTACCTGGGCTGGGAGAAGGGAAGAAATCTCCTGTCACTCCTGGAATTATGTTTAGCTTTATGACATACTTTCAAGAATGCATTTAGACCCAAAAGTATTTAAGAAAGCAGAAAGTACCTATGTTTGGATGATTTAAAATCTTCATTATTCTTACTTCTCTGAAGAGCTAAAAAACAAACACACACACAATTCCCCCAATACAGGTTATTAAACATTATATATATTTAATGAAGATATATTTATATTCCATGGTTGCAATATAAATTTTCTCTTAGATAATTGATTCACTGATAATGTTTAGTAGTCCACATCTAAGAAATGGAAATCCAGGGTAATTATGAAGTAGTTTTGTTACCTAATACTAAATACTTTAATTTTATCTTACGAAAAAAGCAGAGGTCCCAGAAGAGGATGATATTTTGCTATTGTGAATTATACTCTGAATTATATTTTGCTACCTTGAACACAGAAATCAGATTTAAACAGGAATAGTTTGTGATTAGACTTAGTGTGATTCAGTAACTACCTAGGGGTTCTAATTCTGCAAATCAAAACTTGTATAGTCACAATGAACTGCATCATGATAATTCCAAGTAATTCTATAAGAAGATTTTGAATAAAACCACTTCAAGCTGACTACCCATCACACAGAATAAGGGGAAATAGTAAATTGTTGCACAAACACCTGCTGTGAGTTCAGAGGCAGGTCACAGCATTAGGGCCTGGGCTAATATGAGATTTCAGAAAATAACAGAATTTTACAGGTCATCTTATACAACCCTCCTGCAAACAAATGGAAACCAGAAAAAGAGAGGAAAAGATCTTCCAAGGTCCTACTATCTTTCCATGGGGAATATGGCCAGAACTAGTCTCCCAGCACCCAGTATACTATACAGCCTACAGGAGGCAAGGCTGGAACGTGGTTTGGGAAACGAGCAGCCGCTGGCTATGGAAAAAGGAAGTTGGGGCTCTCCCTGCGTTTGTCCTTGTCCACCAGGTCTGATCTAGAACTGAATCAGCAGCTAACAGCTGAAAGGCATGGTATCTGACCTATAGACAGCTCAGAGCTTAAAAACATGTAATCAAGATGAAGAGCCTTCCTGTCTAGAATACTGGATCATCCCTAAAGGCAGGAGCACTTTTATCTCCAACATAAATACTTCCTATTGCTGTTGTGGTCATTCCCACATTTTCTGTTCTGAGATGAGAAGACAGCCTCCCTGACAACCATTCAGGCTTGAGTTCTTTCTTAATTTCCCTCTGTCAAGCTAACACAGGAATCTCGTTTTTCCAATCCATCATAGTTGGACTTGTAGCTATAATTTGAATCTCCCAGTTATTTCTACAAATGCTAAATTAGAAGAGCTCCAAGTTGGATATCATACTAACACAGCTTAGGACACTGCATTTAGAATGAAACCCTGACCACGGCCATGGCAGCCTCTGCCTACCCTCCAACCTCAGCTCCAGCCACCGTGATTTCTCTCAGATATTAGAACATACTAAGCTCTTTCCTTCCTTAGAGTCTTTTTTCCTTTTCATCCTTCAAGACTCAGGCAGATTCTCTAAAAACCTCATCTAAGTAGGTCTCCTTTGTTTTACATCATAGCAATTTTTACTTCCTTCCTAGACTGTCTTTCAAGTTGTGATAATATATTTCTGTTTACCAGTTCACTGTTGTGTTTGTCCTCATCCACAGTGAGCACGTCTGTTTCCCTTCACTACTGCATCCTTGAAACCAAGCCTGGCCCACAACAGGAACTCATTTGTTTGACAAATGCCTGCAGGAAAGTACTAACTACCAAGAAGTGTGGTCTGAGCCAGGCTCCTTAGCATTCTAATGACCACACTGCTTTGAAATCCTGAGCAGCAGAATGCCTATTACAGGGTTGTCGTAGTTCTGCTGGCGAGAGAGGTCAAATGAAAGCGATTGTTTTTTTAAATCCCTACTAGCAGTGCAGCACTAAAACATCAGAGCTAAAGTGATTAGAACCAAAGAGCAGGAAAAAAAAAATGTAATACTATAGGGATTCAAGGGAGGGAGAGTTCACTTATGTCTGGGGTAGTGGGCACCATGGAGGTAACTGGATTTATGCAGTTGAAAATGGGCTATGTGTGCTCCATATATGTGAGCAAAGACAGGGAGGTGCAACCAAGTAAGACTATTTACAGAGACCAAGCCATCACAGATCACTTCCTTGCATGTTGTGAGCACACTGAGCACCTCAATGGACAGGCCCAGATGGCAAGGAAATGAGGACTCATACCCACAGCTGGTGAGGAACTGCAGGCCCTAGACAAGAGCCAGGGGAGAGGGCCTTTTCGAAGTGGATACACCAGCCCCAATCAAATCTTTGGATGCTGCATCTGTGGCTCTCACCCAAAATCTCTTGAGAGCACCTGAGCCAGAACCATCCAATGAAGTCACTCCCGAACACATGACTCACAGAAACTGTGAGATGACACATGGTTCTAAGTTGCTAAGTTTTGGAGTAATCTTTAGAGAGTAGTAGTACACTACCGGTAACACACTAAAGTTTGAAACCCCCTGAGTTACACACAGCAGAGGTCACACCAAGGGCTGCGTTGTGAAAACAGAGGAAAGGTGAGTGGCACCAGATAGAAGGATGAATAGTACAAGCTTACGCTGTAGAAAGAATAGTCAAAGGTTCCCTAGCAGGGTAGTGTCAGGGTATTACCAAAATAACTTTACATATCTGCCTCTATCAGAATTATACATCAGGTAGAAATGAGTTCATAAACTCTATACCAAGTTAATCAAAGGTGGTGGGGAGAGGAAGCTAATAGTGATCAAGTGTCACCTCTGTCTGAAGCTCAGCACTAGATGCTTCACGTCTATGATCCTCTCTGACTTAATTTTCACAACTCTGTCAGGTGACTACGGTCATCTCCAATGTACAGGAGAGGAGGACTAAGAAAGTTAAGAAACTCGATCAGGTTCTCTCAGCTAACACGTGCCGGAGTCCAGAGTCTGAGGTGTCTGACTCCAGAATCCACACTCATCTCACGAGTCCAAGCAGCCACCTTTGAAATGTACAAGTAAAACAACCGACAGATTACAAGCTGGCAATACAGAGAACCCAGAGCAACAGGTGGGTACTGGCACAGAATTGTTTTAAAAGTTGACAATTTGCATATACGGTTAAAATGCCAGAGATTTCATTTATTTGTATCAACTGTGAACCTGATGGCTGAAGATAAATTTGGATATAAATAATGTATTGAAAAGAAAACATGAACTTTAAGCAAAGTCCCTACTAGGATTGTACAACATATTTTTAAGTTTTGCTACTATAAAAGGACATTTAAATAAGACGTTCACCTATTTCTACTATCTTATTTCTCTACATTCCCTTTCAACCTTATGCAGATGCTAGTTGTAAAAAATAAAATAACACAGAAATGTGTAAAGTGAAAGAGTTCTCTCCTCATCGACTAATCTCCACCCTCTACACATCTTCCCATTTTTATGTCCTTTAGGAACTGGTAGACAGGAGAACAAACATCTCTAAAGGCAAAGACGTGGACCCTGGTGACGAGAACACTAAACACACTAAGCCCACAGTACTACAGAGTAAAGAAATGTCCCCAAAGCCTGTACTGAGGATGTACAGGAATTATCCTTGGGAAAAAACAATTTTACCAGTTGATATAAAAATAAAATGAGCATATAAGAGACAGCATAGGGTAGGGTGAGATGTTATCATAGTCATCAAACTGTGATCTAAATCATCATGACCAAAGTGTTCAGACTTGCTTCTCCAGATATATAGGTATGAGACAGAACGAACAGGCCAAAGGCTGAGAGCCTGTGCTTTTCATGGCAGCTGAGTGACATGCTGGATGACAACTCGTGTAGTAGAAATAATGGGCAGGAATAGAATCGCCCACCTCCTCTTTACCAGGAAGGAGGTGAACTGTAAACCAAGGTTGTGAGTGATCATCAGCTGCCCTGGACGAAGAGGAGGAGACACAGGTACGGAGCATTCGGGGGCAAGGGAGAGGGAGGCAGAGCTGAAGCTGACACCCAAGTTCGTGAAGCTGGGTGCCACTCTGAGACAGAAGACTCAAGCTGCAGCGAGGAGGGTGAGCCTGGCTTTGGACATGCCACGTGAGGGGCAGTTAAGTGAGGATGCTGAAAGCATAGCATGGTACTTGGTGTTTGGGTCTGAAGCTCAGGAAAGAAATCTGGGCTAGAGATAAATTCTGTAGAATTATTAGCATAGGGATATGTACCTGCTGTTTCCTCATTATGGCCCTTTGTCTCACTTACCACACTGATCACAGCACCTCTGCTGAACAAAAGAACAAATCAAAGACCCTCTCAGACAAAACTGAGGGAGAGAGCCTGGCAAAAGCCCAGAGTTTGTGGAGAAGGAACTGTCAAAATGCTCTGATGTGAAAAAGAAAGAAAAAAAATGTCTTTGCTTCTCTATAAACAGAATACCTCTAGAAGGACAAATAGAAACTGATGTCACTGGTGGTCCCAGGGCAGGGACCTGGATGGATGGACGTCAAGGGGTAAAGACTTTGCCTTCTATACTTTTATCTGTCCTTTGAACTCTGAATCACAACCGTAGTATCTATCTCCTCTCCTCCAAGTAATTTGAATTTTAAGAAGAAGATGGAGAATGAACAAAGAAAAGTGTTTTTTGACAAAAGGGGAATTCCCGAAAAAGAAAACTGCTGTATTCTGAGGACTGTTAACAAGAAGAGAGTTTACTATTCCTTTTCATAGTCTGGGCCAAGGCTGCTGATGGGTGAAAGGCAGACAAGTCTTCCAGGGAATATCTTTAAAGTCCAGCAAATATGACAGCCAGCACAGTAAGGCAAAACTTAAGGAGCTTAAAGAGAGTTTAGTTACTCTCAGAACCACCCTAACATTAAAATAAACAACAGAATAGGAAAGTTAACAAATAACAGAGAAGATAAGAGCACTATTAAAGACCATTTGTTTAACACTAGGCAAAGGCAGTGACCTATCTCCTACCCAGGAAGAGCTGTCTATAGATGGGGGGAGATATATATGTGTGGGTGTACTACAGTGTAATTAACCAGAATTTTACTGATATCATGTAGGTTATCCCTAACTTTTTGCTGTTGTAACATTACAATGAGCATCCTTGTATATATACATCCTCATAC